CTTTCGGAGATTATCTGTCTAATAAAAATCCGGGACGGCAGACGGACAGACGGACAGACGGACAGACGGACAGACGGACAGACGGACAGACGGACAGACGGACAGACAGACGGACAGACGGACAGACAGACGGAAATGGGAGACCTGTTTCTTCGTCTTCTAGGGGTCATGAAAGATCGAGAAAACGTAAAAGTAGAGAGTCGGCCGACGGACTCGATTACAATACTTCCTTTGCTTACGCTCGGGAAGTAAAAAGCGAAAAATGCGAAAAGCCAAGTATGGAATCGAACGCGCGACGTCCAGCCCGTTATTCTCACATCCAACCACTAGGCTACGACCAGGATGGGATGCCTTACGTTAATGATAAACTACTATTATACCGTGCATTATGTTTTTGCAAAAATTTGAACGGTTAGGGAAAAACTCAAAGCGGATTCGTAAACCAATCTTATAGGAGTATATTGTTGTATAACAATCAAATGAAGTAAACATAGAATTTTTTGAAATGACCTCATCATTGCGAATTTTATTTTTTTATGATAACCTCTAAAAATTAAAATAAAGTAATGTATGTAATGTAAAAACTAGAAAATTGGTTTTTTCTACCGCCCACGTTTTTTGGTTTTCTAATAGAGCTATTAACGCACGCAAATGACGTCACAGCAGTTCGTTAATAGCGGAAAGGCGTTCTTTAATAGATCTGGTGTAATTTAGATCGGTAAGATTGGTAGCAATGACGAGAAATGTCAGGTGAATGTCAGTGGCAAATCTAAACTTACAATTTCCCACGTTTCCGGACGCGTAACTTCTTCGCAAGACATTTGAACCAATTTTAAATTACAAAAACTCGAATTGATTCGAATTACAATTGTTGTTGTGAAAATTCGAACCTCAAATATTTCGTGGTTAGTGTCAGACCAACCCATCACCAACCACGACAAAAGTCCCCAGATTAAAAAAAATGCAAATTTCAATTAAATTTTGGGAAAAAACGTGTGCGGTAGAAAAAATAGTATAAATAACTCGTTCATAAGGCCATTGAGGCACTCATCTTTTATATAACTCGCGGCTTCGCCGCTCGTTCTATAAACTTGGATTCGTGCCTCAATATTTGCCTTATGAAACTCGTTCTTTAATATACTATAAAGAGTTTAGACAGTACTTCCCTCGCTGTCGGAAACGTGACGACTGCAAGCCTGTTATGTTTTTTTTCGCATTAGATTTTAAAGCATTCAGGTTTGTAGTTCTTGATTAAATCAATAAAATAAATTTGCGCATTCATTAAATTTTTTGAGTCACCCTGTACATCCAAATCCAAAAAATATGAATGGAATGATAAATTAGAAGAAGAGACTCATCATATTTTGTACATTTTAGATAGGATTATTCAGCAAAATTTTGGGGTGGCGTCATCCATTTTTAGGGGGGATGAGCAAATATATTTTGATCAAAAAATTGCCACGCTTATGATAAACTTAAAACATTTCCAAAATTTCAAAGTATTCAGTTTTGTAAAACCTGATTAAATCAATAAAATAAATATGCGGATTCATTAAGTTTTTTGAGTCACCCTGTATATGCAAATCCAAAAAATATTAATGGAATGATAAATTACAAGAATAGACTCATCATATTTTATCCATTTTAGATAGGATTATTCGGCAAACTTTTGAGCTGACGTGATCAATTTTTTGGAGGGGATAAGCAAATATATTTTGACTAAAAATGTATTATGCTCTTTATAACCTTAAAACATTTGCAAAATCTCAAAGCATTCGGTTTTGTAGTTCCTGATTAAATCAATAAAATCAATTCATGCATTAATTAATTTTTTTGGGTCACCTGTGTATGCATATACAAAAACTATGAATAGATTGATAAATCACAAGAAGAGACTCATCATATTTGGTACATTTTAGATAGGATTTATTCAGCAAAATTTTGGAAGGGATAACTAAATATATTGTAATAAAAAATGTATCATACTTATCATAACTGTAAACCATCTGTAAGATTTCAAAGTATTCGGTTTTGTAGATTTCAAATTAAATATCAAAATGTTGTTTCCTAATTTTGATTTTTTTCCAAAAATCTGGACGTTTCAGTTAAAATCTCAATTCGGAGTCATAAACTACACGTGTAACACTATGTTATTTGATACAATTTAAAACCCAATTACTATGTACAATTTTGAAGTGACGTCATCCCATTAGTAGTGGGGATAATCAGACAAATTTTGGTTAGCGTTTTACCATCTACATGATATACCTAATATAAATACAAAATTTGACAACAATCGGCCCAGTACTTTCGGAGATTATCTGTCTAATAAAAATACGGGACGGCAGACAGGCGGACAGACGGACAGACGGAAACGGGAGACCTATTTCTTCGTCTTCTAGGGGTCATGAAAGATCGAGAAAATGTAAAAGTAGAGAGTCGGCCGACGGACTCGATTACAATACTTCCTTTGCCTACGCTCGGGAAGTAAAAAAATGCAAAAAGCGTGCCATATATGTTTCAAGTGCGTGTTTCCATTACAAAACTTTGTCATGTATATCAACTGGCATAGATGCCGATAAATATGCGACAGCAGTGTATTTCCAAATTTTCGGGAAAATGGAATGAGCCATTCTTGAAACATAAATTTCACCTTGTATAAGTATTTCTGAAAAATATGAATGCTCTGATCAACCACAAGCATAGATTCATGATATTTTGCACATTTTAAATAGGATTTATTCGTCAAAATTTTGAGCTGACGTCAACAATTTTTGGGGATAGATAAACGGATACATTTTGATTACCCATTTACCACGCTTACTATAACATTAAAACGTTTGCAAGATTTCAAATTATTCGGTAGCAGCCTCAAATTTAAATTGTAAAATATTGTTATGAATTTTTTTTTTCCAAAAAAATCTCGACGGTTAGGTTAAAAAATCAAGACGGATCCATAAACTCCACGTGTAGGAGTATGTTAGTTCATAAAATTTAAACACCATTGTCTTGAAGTGACGTCATCATATTGTTGGTTTTACCATCTACAGGATATTCATAACACACATATAAAATTTAACAATAATCGGTTCGGTAGTTGCGGAGATTATATGTCTAATAAAATTCGACAGACCGACAGACAGACAGACGGCAGCAGGACGCCTATTTTTTCGTACTTTCGAAGTCATGAAACGTCAAGAAAACATGAAAGTAATCATTCGTTCGATAGATCCTGTTGCAATAATTCCTTAGTTTATGCTCGGGAAATAAAAACTCTTAATTTTAACGAATGCAATTGCAATAGTTTACCCCTCAGCTTTTATTTTGTGGTATTTAAGAAATAAACATAATAAACTACCTACCGGAGATTATCTGTCAACTGAAAATCGACATAGACGACATTCCTCAGCTCATCTAAAGGAATATTTATGATCAATTAACAACTTTTAAAATTGGTCTAAAGTTATTTAGAGAGAATTTCCCTAGCATTTGAACTCAAACATTAAAGCAAAATTAAATGTCTTAGAAAAAAAAATGTCGACAAGTATAAAATTCGAGCCCACCAAATCCAATTACTTAACCACTAAGCAAGCCACCGCATGGAATATGTTGCAAAGATTATATAAAAATGTTTGTAAAGTATTTGTGATAAAAGTCAAGGCGGATTTATAAACAACAAGTGCAGGAATGTTATACGATAAAATTAAATTTTGAGACAACGTCATCAAATTGTTGGAGGGAATGATTAGACAAATCAGCGTTTTGCCATCTACACGATAATTCTTATATATATATCTACAATTTGACAACAATCGATCCGGTAGTAGAGAGACATACGGAAACGGAAGACCTATTGTTTCGTACTCTTGGGGACATGAAACGTCGAGAAACATTAAAGTCGCCGTTCCCCTAATGGACTTGGTTATATTTCCTTCGCTTACGTAAAATACAGTATGTTTCATTTGAAAAAACCTATTAAGTTACTATGACGCCTCGAAAGCACAAGATGCATACTGGATTTTATTTTTTAAAAAAGATTTGTTTACTAATGTTTTCGAACAAATTTTTAGTTGGTTAGGATAGATATATTATTTGGAACTTCCATGCAAGATAGTAAGACAACTTTTCTGAGGCAATCAATCAAGCAATCCAAACAATCCGTTTATGTTATGTAAATAGTTCTAAGAAATAAAAACATACTGTTGAAACACTACAATACAATATTTTCAAATTGCGTCATCACTGTTGTTGAACAGACGAAAAAAGAAATTTTCGTTAAACTTTTGCTACGTTTATAAGTATCTTAAATATTCCTAAAATTTTAAAGTGATCGACGATCACGGAAATTGAAAAATGTTACAATAATAGAGACAAAAAAAAACAAAAAAATATTAGTTTGAAACTCAGGTTACCTCCTATAAGTAATTTACATAACAGATTCTTTTTTTATCAACCTAAAGCAGACAAAACATTTTATGCAAAATCATAAACTTCTGTTTTATATTATATTTTACAAGCAAATATGACCTACATTTTATAGCTTTCTTTAAATGTAGACTTAAAAAATACATCACCTGATAAATGAATAAGTACATATGAGAACTTTTTACAAAACTTAACTTCATACTCGTTCTTATTGAACCGTAAATTTATCTCAAAATCCAAAATGACGAATTATTATTAATAAAACTTAGTAAGCACATTCAACTGAAATTAAAGTTGTAAAATAATGACAGAATGTATTTTTTTAAATAGGAATGTGTTTGTCTTATGAATGAATGAAGTTTATTAAATGAGAATTTGAAAAGTTCAAAGCTATACAAACAAAACTCAAGAATATTATTTGTTTTGAAACCTTTGAAATGAAACTGAGATACTTAATTTCACATTTCCCTGAAGGCATTTTTTTAAACCAGTTCCCACATTGGTACTTTATCGTTAAATACTTTCGAGCAAATATATTAAATGAGTTGCTAAAACACTGTGTACTTTATTTTTAGCGTACCTTACGAAGAACTTCGACAAAGATACCTTCAGTTTTCGGTGTACGATTTCGACAGATTCTCCCGGCACGATCTTATCGGTCACGTAGTCTTAAAAGGTCTTCTAGACACAACGGACCTCCAGCAAGAGATAGAGTATACCATGAATATCTTATGCCCTCCACAGGTGAGTTCTATAAAAAATTCACCGATCTAAATTTAAACCCGACGGGGATAAAAATATCCGCTGCAGCAGTCCTTAGGGAAGCTCCGGGAGAAACCTTGACCTAAATAAAAGTAGGTCGTGCAGGACTCTCCCGACGCATTTCCTTTTTGTCTATTGATTTTCGAGGGAATGTTCTTTTTAATTTGCAGGAAAAAGTCGATTTAGGAGAGCTGATGTTATCGCTGTGTTACTTGCCGACAGCCGGACGTTTGACCATCACCATAATTAAAGGGAGGAGTCTCAAAGCCATGGATATTACGGGAAAATCAGGTATATTGAAAATTCAAAGGTCAACGTTCGTGAAAGGACCGTTTCCCATTTTCAGATCCTTACGTTAAAGTGTATTTGCTGTGCCAAGGGAAGCGGATAAAGAAGAAAAAGACTTCAGTCAAGAAAAATACTCTGTCGCCAGTTTATAACGAGGCTTTAGTGTTTGATGTCCCGGCCGAGAACATCGAGGAAGTTTCTCTTATAGTCAAAGTGATAGACTATGACAGGTAAATATGAAGCAAAAATAGATACCAAAATATTATTTATGTCGCCATATCACGCTCGTACAAGTGAAATACTTGCCACAAACAAATTCTTTCAATAACCTTATGTATCAGAATTGCTTCCATCTATAAAATTGTGTGGCATATTCGATACATAATGTTTTAAGATGTCATAAATAAATAAAATCGATTTGACCAACTATTTAAATATATGTACTTATCGCCTGATATGTAGTTTCAAATTTAACTAATAGTCTATTTTAAATGTTATTTTCTCAATATGACAAACTTATTGTGGAAAATAAGTAAACAATACTGTTGAACAATTATAATCTTCGGTACGATTGCTCGGGACATATCAACATAAACGTTTCAACAGCTACGCTGTCATTTTCTCGGACTAAACTAAGTCGTGGGGATAATAAGGTGTTTGTGTTAGTTGTAAATAAGTAGGAGGTAAATTTAAAGAAGCTCCTATATGGAATTTTACAAAGAAGATAATGAAGTATGACAGTGAGTATAATATCGTAATACGTCTGTTCAATTGCGCTTTTAATAACATATTTTTTTATAAATACTTTTGATAATTTGTAAAAATATATATTTAATAAAATAACCCTCGAACATGGAGAAATAAAGTTTAAAGTATTTGGCAACTTTGTAAAGCGCAAATTTTTGATGAAACGTAACATATATAAAGTAATGCTGAAAGAAAATTCGAAAAAAAATAAAACTGACAAGAAAATAAATTAGTATGTTATAAATTTACTCATATATATATTTGTTGTCGTTAAAGTACGTCAAGTAGATGAAGCTACAAAAGTTGACACGATTTTCAAATCCATCGGTTTTCTTCTTAAAGCATCAGTATTTAAACCATGACAGTAAATTTTAATCACTAATACTTAATTTGCAGAAATAAACTAAGAAATAAATTAATATCAAAAACAACTCCGCGACCATATTTTTATGGAATAGATTTTTAAACTTTACTATATTCATAATCTATAAACTAGATGCACGTACCTAATTAATTCATGTGCATGGTTGTTAATTACGTTAAACAAACCCGAATACTTAAACCACCGATAAACTGTGAATAATATGTTTATCTGATGAACAGTTCGTGTTTAAACAAATAGAACGTGTTCATTAAATTTAGCACCATTCTGAAAACATTGCACATTAACCGATGATTAAATTTTAAATCTTGTGTTATATTGAAAGTACATCACTATCAATCTGCAAATAAATTATTTTATTCTATTTTAGAACCATAATCTTATTTATAAGCACCCAAATGCGGGCTTAAATTGACCTTTTTAGCACAAATCTGTCAAAAATTGCTAAGCAACAATTGATTGTTCATTTACTCTAATCAATTAATTATTCAAACACGCTTCGATATTCAACGTTTTTCTTAAGTTGGAAAAACAATATTTTATCAAATCATTACCTGACCGACTTCAAATTCTTCTAAACTTTCGTTTGAATAAACGTTTTCCGCTTCTTTAATTTACATTTTGAAAAACGAATTATCAAATAATCAACGTGGTATCCATAACAACATCAAAATAATAGCCAGCTATGTATTAAAATTCGCATCGGCACAATTCACACAGTCTTGCCGAAAATACTCAATATTTCGTTAAAAATAGTTTATAAACTAAAATAGAATAAAACGTTGTATGTACCACGTGCATAATTGTCGATTGTGGCACTCAGGAAATTAAAAGCCCTCCTTCGTCGGGCTTTAAACATTCCCTCGTGCCACAATCTCCCTGATTATGCCCTTAATACATAAATAACTATTAAAGTGTGCTTAAAATTGGCGACGAAGCCCCACAAATCTATTTAACTACTCTTTGTGGTATTGCTTATCGCATATGACTTCTATCCAAAAAACTTTTTAGCCTTATGTTTGAGAACAGCTTAATATTTGTAAATTATTCTTTCGTCGATAAGCCGTTTTTCGTGGGCAGTGAATAAGTTTGATTTCGTCAGGTTTCGGGATGAAACGCTTATTCGAGTAAACTCGGGTTAGGAACCGAGCGAGCCAGAGAAAGAAGTTGTCCATCGTTCCACTGCTTGTTCGACTGTGCTTCAAGGACGAGGAAAGTTCTGTCTAAATAACCTATGATCATTTTTTTTTGCTTAACATACATAGCAGCTACACATTTGGCGTCATATTTACTTAATAAATTTAAATATGACGTAATCAGTTTTTTGAGGATATAAATAAATTTTGGTTAATACATTCTAAGTATAACCATATTTATGAAAATCTTCGATTCACATGTGAAATATAAAGTAAATATAAAAACATTTGTCAAAAAATGTTCCCGGTAATCTTCAAAATGTTTGACTAAATTTAGCCTTATAAACAAATTACATGTTTTTTTGTACCTACCTAAAACTTTTGGTGATGGGGGTCAAAATGATTACTTCAACTTTATCCCAACGCATTTTTAATACCATTTAATATTTTCAGCTTTTACCAAAATGCTGCAAATGCTATTCAAAAACTGATACTGTGATAACCCAAACTTCCCGCCTTAAATTGACACTTGAAAAAAAAATTTGAAACGCCCGCGAAAAATTTAAAAATTCAAAATTTTGCCTTGGTTGCGATCGTCTAACAAAATGGAACCTACGTTGTGTTTTCTTTTTTTTATTGGCGGGAAGACGTTCTTGGATACAAGTGAGCATACACTGCGTGCGAGTAGACAGCGCACGAAACAATAAACATTTTTGGGAGGGGGCTAAAAATCGTACCCCTCTCTAGGAGGAAAAGAAGCTGCGAGCGAGGGTGACTAGTGACGTGCCCTCAGACTGCCCAGCTCCAAAAACCCCCTATGGTTTATTTACCCACATATAATCCATCACAACTGAAACACATTAAAAATATGAAAGAAAGAGACAACCGCGAGTTGACACACATACACATATGAAAACCGAACAAACACAAAACCCTACACATATGTTTTTGAATCAATGCAAATATACCACAAATTTAATAAAAACAAAGGAAAATCTGAATTAAAGTAACTGGATGCAAACACACAAGTTATTACAGACGTGTGGCGGCAAATCTAAAATTACGGCAGTCAACAAGAGCACAACAAAAATACCCATAGGGGCGTTCTAGCACAAACGGAGTTTAGGGCTACCGGTCGTGGCTGTTCTCCTACGCGACAGTGATTCTATTTATCGCAAGCCTACCGCAAAGCATCTCTCTATTACGGACGTCCCGTTAGACCAGGCCGTTACGGTCGCAGATCCGCAGTTGGGTCTCGGCTATGGCGGGAAGCCGACAGCGTTACAACATTGCGACCGCCCCTGAATCTATACAAACTTGCATCCTTTCTGCAGGTGACGCGATAAACCTCGCCAGCTCGACTAGGAACCGCGCACTCCGCTTCTGCCACGTTGTTCTGTTATTTAACCTCAATTCCATTTTAAATGATCAAATTCTATGACTCTATTAACGACAACTGAATAAGTGTTAAAGTTTCAAAACGAGCAATAAACAACATTTAAATTCGCCATACAATCTTGTAAAATTCTAAACAACAAATAATTCTTATGTTAGATTAAAATTGGACATCAGATAATTTATATGATGGAAACATTCATCAACAAAAACTAGCAAAGATTTATAAAAACAAAAGATCTGGTGTGAAATAAACTTGTGCAAATAAAAATATTATGTGCGGTTAAAACTGTAGAGCTTGAAAGTTTACGTTCAAGACAATTACTGAAGTTAAAATTGTGAGACAGTGAAATATTACATGAGGTGAAAATTGCAAACCTAACAAATTTACATGAAATTAATATTTGCCACACTTTGTCAACGATTCAAACAAAGAATTTACATTATGTCAAATTATGTCATGATCCAAGTGATTGGTTACTTAAAAAAAAACAATATACTTTGAGAGTTTATAATACCGTGAACTGTTTGCCCCAAACAAAACACATAATAAATAAACACAAAAATATCCAGTCATCATTGCCAGGAAAAAGCGTCTCGGTGATGTAAATTTTAGCGTTGCGAGGAAATACCCTCGGTGATGTAATCTTTACACGTTGCGAGGCGATACCTCGGTGATGTTATCAATCTCTAGCATTGCGAGGACATGCCTCGGTGATGGAATCAATCTTTAACGTTGCGAGGAAATGTAATGTTGTAATGATGATAACGATGATAACTGCTGAAGGGGAGAAATTATTTTAACCCCCCGCTAGTTCACAGTATAATGAATTTTGTTAATTTAACTGCCGTAAATGCACGATTAGCAATCTTGTGTGAAGAATTAAGGAGTGTTATAATGTAACACTTATGTATATGCATCCAGAAACCTCATTCGTAATTAAACAAACAAAGGTGTTATCCTGACTAAGTGAATTTCATGAAATCTTCTAGCAAGATTGTTAAATTGTGTTAGCAATAGTTGACGATTAAACTCTTAACATGAACTGTGAATTTACAAACAATGAATCAAATTTACAGGTGTTAGCGTCGATCAAAAAGTCGCATTTTTCCGATTAAAAAGGCGCAAGAATTAGCTACACGTGTTGGGGGAAAACTGTGACGTCATCGGTGTTACGATTGATTGTCGTTAAACAAAGGCTTCCTCCCTTTTATTAACTACCAAACCAACTAATTTAACCTAGCTACTCACCATGCATCCATTACACCGAACCAAAACATAATGCCGCATCCCGCTTTCACCATGCCGCTCTTTTGTCAAAGCCAACATACCGCTCTCTAATTAAACATGCAGAACTACCCCCAAGCGCTACGTGCACATGGTTGCCTATGTTTAACGATTTTTTGATTGATTTTTTTTTTTCAAATTAAAATTATTCAAATGTAATTTCGCGCCGCTGTTAATTAAATCCAGCGCGAAAATTTGATTCAAATTCGGTCACCACAGCACAAGAACTTTGTTGGGCTGTTTTGTAACAAAAAAAAAACAAATTTATTATTTTAGTAAATTCGCGTTACCGTGGGGAAGAGACGAAATCAATGAAGTTAAAAACAAAACAAGTAATATATTTAATAAATCAAAGTCATCTTCGTTTTCCTTGGAAGAAGAGGAAGCACTACATACAATTGCAAAAATAGGATTTTCTTATTATGGATTCTGTCGTGTATGATTTATTTCCTACATAGGCTGAAATTTTTTTAGCAACTAGTATTTCTTTTACATGAAAGTGTATTGAAAACACCGGCATACTAACCTTGTGGTTTGAGTGTTGATTATAACGCGTTCAAAGAGTTATGAACTGGCATCAGATGTGGCGTTCGTGAACCAATTTGAATTTGTCAGTTAGTTATTAACACGAAATTAACTTCATAAATCATAATAGACCAGGCAGTAACATTAAGACTGATGTGTCATTAACACCTTAAACCCATCATGCATACCGTTAATGTCTGCAACACCACTGTAGCTTGTTTACTTAGCATATTACACGCGAAATGTAGAGTGTCTATTGTCTAATTTATGTTATACCGGGTGTCTGGAAAATGGCGGATTAACTCTCCGCTACGCTCTTAACAATCAACTGGTGAGTCTGGGAAAAATAGTAAAAAAAATCCTTCTCACATTTTGGGTGAGTTATAATGATTTTAAAATTGCTTCTTTTGCTACGTTTAACAACTAAACCACTCATTCATTATCGGAATAACTAGTAGTAAAACTTTTAGTTAATATTTTTCTCGCCCATGACCATGTTTAATTACCATTTCAGTTAGAATGCACAAAGATATGGCTGTGTTGTTTTTGTAATAATTTCATAAATTTCCATTTGACAACAATATTTACCTGATATAAAGCGAAGGTGGATTTCAGTCAGCATCGTTACTAGGAAACCAGAAAGTAAGCCGGAGGTATTCACGCATTAGGTGTGTACAGTGTTGCCAATTTTACTTTTATAAAAGCACGTTTTTTTCGTTATCTTCATTATAAAGAATTTTTTTATTATTTTTTGGGACTCCCGAAACCCCCGTATATAACGTACTGAAGAGTTAATCCGCCATTTTCCAGACAGCCGGTATAAACATCTCCTGTGCAACATAAGAGAGCGATTCAAAAATATCTGATATCGTTGAAAACAAAAATTTCTCGGTTCGTTATAACATTCGAGACGGGATCATAATTATGCATTTCCATATCAGCGGTGCTTGATTTGACAGTTCAAAGGCTTAGCCCTCATTCTGCCTTTAACCGATGGAGTGTATGAAATTTATCGCGGCATGCAGGTAAAAATTATATACCTATGCCCAATAAATTATTTTTTTCCACTAATTTAAAAATTTGTATTTAAAAAAAATGTGTAAAAAATATTTGCACAAAATACCTCCCGCGTGCTTTTTATGTTTTCAGAAATTTATCATAAAAGCAAAAACTCCAAAATTATTTTTCATGCTACCTGAGAGTTCGCACCGTTTACCTAATTAAAACTGCAACATTTTAACGAATGAAAGAAAGTTTTATCAACGTTGCGTTGCGGTTACGCTTTAGTACTAAACACTTTCAGTATATTACTATTTGTTAAAATCCTTATTCAATATATATTATTAACACTTTTCAACATATGATCACATTAAAACCTACTTGAATAATAAATTTGACAAGTTTCAATAGTAATCTCTTTGTAATTTTGTGTTTATAAATATATGTTTGATAGTTAGTACAGGTAAAACTTCACCGAAAAACATATCTCCAAACCATTCTCCAAACACTCTGTATAAAAATAAAAAAAAAATCAGATAACAATAATTCACACATAAAAAACAATTTATATGCGATATTTTTCATACTACTTTTATGTGAACATTTTTAAAATTCAGTTGCAAAAGGCATCAAATTCGAAAATCGACACTGTTGTCCAAAAATTGGCATTTGACAGAATTGTTGAAAATCGTCAATTATGAAAAAGTGAGGTTAAGCTGTACCATTTCGCAAGCTCTTATCAGTTATAATATATTAAGTGCATCGCAATGTTATCGATAATTTTGAGCAACAATAACTCGAATGCTTGTTGCATTGAAAACGCACGAGTGCTTTAGCACGAGTGCATTTTTCTTAGGCAACAAGCATGAGAGATTATTGTTGTTCAAAATTATCGATTTCATTGTGATGCACGCAATATATTCAACAGATTATTGCAAGAACAAACATTTTAAAAATAATTTTATAATGATTTACGAAGTAGTTTGGTGTGCGATACTATGGCGACGCAAGTAAATAAGAACAGCCATTTTGCAAAATTTGTGTGGGTTTAAAAAACCATGTCCAATTTTCGTTTTGGTCGTAACACGCCAAAAGAAATTGATGATTCTATTACAAACATTACGCCGCTAAATACGAAGAACTCACGAAATTCAATCTGGAGGCAATTTGAGAAGTTTTGCGGTGAACGCAAATATGTTTTTGATGGAAACACTTCCACGGAAAAACTAGCATTCATCCTCAAAGATTGGGGGTACAATATGAAAAAAGTCGATGGTAATGACTACAAAGAAGCAGTAATAAAAACGATGTGGAATGTAACGGCAAAGCAGTTGCAAGAACTGTATTTCAATAAATTTGGTATAAAGTTTGATCCTTTTGTTGACCTGGAATTCAAGGGTAGTAGAAATGCACGCGACGCAAAACGCCGGAACCTACAAATACAACCGGAAAAACGCAAAACTAGTTCCTCAATTTTGACTCTAGAAGAATACAACAAGATTCTAAAGATTTATAACGAAGACACGCCAGATGGTTTACAGAAAATGTTTTTTTATGTGGCTGGATTAGAATTAGCTTGGAGGGGATGTGAAGGTGTTAACGTTACTATCAAACATTTTAAGGAAGAAAGTGATAATTGTGGTTTGCCTACGGGGCGAATAGAATACAATTGTATTTTTTCCAAAACAGCTCAAGGAGGTAGCCATAAATTAACAGACAGCAAATGGCTTGCAACAAACACCACAGATCCTAGAATTTGCCCTGTTAGGTAATTAAATACTGTTTCAAATACAAAATAATAATTATTTTATTATTTAAGGCTCTACAAAAAAATGCTGAGCAAGAGAGGTAAACATATAACCACCGATCGTTTATTTTTAACGCCAAATCCTGCATGGAGAGAACCTAGTTCTGTAGGATGGTTCAAAAATTCACCCGTTGGAAGGAATGAAATGGGGAAATGGACAAGAACCGCCGCAGAAGAAATAGGCATCGACATAAAGAAAAAGAAGATTAGTAATCATTCATTACGGTCAACTGCAGTGTCGCAACTTGCAAAAGCGGGAGTCGGTGAAGAACAGCTTATAAAGATTACCGGTCATGCCAATACTTTCTCCATCAAACCATACCTTCAGCTCGATGGAGATCATCATTATCAAATGATTGACAAATTACGCGCCAACTCAACGGCTATGGAAGAGTCTAATAACAAATCCACAAATTGCGCACCGTCTGCTTTGGTACAAATGTCTAAAAATATAGTTACTACTTCACCAAGCACACAAACCCCTGTAAATTACTACAACTGTACCATAATTAATTACAATTCTTAGTTTCATAATTAAATATTTGGTTAGTAACCTCTTGTTTTTTTTTGCAATTAACTGGTACTTGCTTATCTTATAGTTGGCACATCTGGCTAGTGATAATTATCGGTAGTGGTAATTGCACAGTGTGCAATTATCACGTAATTGTATGCTGATTGGTTGAATTTACAAATATTGACGCGTTTGATTGGTCAGTTGACATCATGTGACATGTGAGTGCAATAATCCATTAAATATTAGGTTTACTGTGAACATACTTCACAATAAATTTTTCAATTAAATTCATACATATTACTTTATTATTATGACAATTTATATTTTATAGCACTTTATGATAGATCATTAAAATACGATTGCAATGATATAAAACATTCTGGTGTTAATTTCATTTTCAATCAATAAAAACAATAAAATTTAGGTATACATTTAAAAAAGAACGGAAATTGAAATCAGAATAATGCTCGCACTTTATTTGAATCAGAATTATTTCAAAGACAGTTAATCAGTCCAGTGTCATCCCACTGAACATAAAAATGGTTTCTTATTGGTCCGCTAGTTGTTCGAAATTTCTTGTCAATGGTTGGGGAATAGGGCAATCTCAATAGGGTACGCGCTTTGTATCAGTTAAATCAAATTTTAATGTACCAGATGTTTAAAAAAATATAGAACTTCACAATTTTTAAATACCGACGTTTCCATATTTTTAAATACTAAGTACACCCTGTATTTTATTACTATATCTTACTCTATTTTTTCTCATTCTTCTAATATGTCGATGTGTTTCTTAAAAAAAAAATCGCAGTAACTAATACCTTTAAATAGAGAAAGTACTTAACAGAAAAAAAATAAAACAAGATGCAGTCATAAAATATAGAGGCTGTTTTATATGAGAAACTAAAATACGCTCTGTACATGAAAATTTAATTTCATTAGTACACAATTTTTTGTATACAGTTTAAAAATAATCCCACTGCGGTTTTTTGTAAACTCTTCCATTGCTAAAAAACTTCAATAAAATTGAAATAACGTGGCAACATCGCATCGGAATTTAAGCAATAAACTGTTAAACTGTGGGTGTGAAACCTAAATACAAGAGATGTTTTATTTAAAAAATTAAATTGTGAGTTACTCCTTAAAAACAGAACACTCTGTATAGTTAAAAATAACTTTAAAGTATAGTTCTCAAAGAACTTCTCTTTCTAATAATAATTAAAACACCGAAAAACGCGCACTTGGTGACTCACTGTATATGTTAAATCTTCTAAATCACACAAGTGTCACAAATATGCCAAATTTTTTATGTATCTTCACAAAAAAAAATAGTCGCAGGTTGTTTCGACAGAACTTCCCTCGCCACCGAAGTACCATGAAAACATATACACTATTTTAGAAAAATGATAAAATTTCATGTTCTAGTTATAACATATGTTGTAGTGTTAAAGTAAATGTAAAGACGCGTGCTACGCGTATGTTTGAAATGAGTTTTTACTTTACAAAATTTTGTGATGACGTCATCAACATTTTTGCTAATAAAAACAGTATTGTATTCCAAAATTTTTGGGGAAAATAGAGTAAGCCGCTCCTGATTTAATCAATAAAAAAGCTGCCACATTCATTAATTTTTTTGCGTAACCTGTAGAAGTAAATGTAAAAAATAAGAATGAAATGATAAATCACAAGGAAGAACATATTTTACACATTTCTGGATAAGATTTATTAGGCAAAATTTTGAGAAGACGTTATAAATTTTTTCTCGTGAATAAACAGATACATTTTCATTAAACATTTATCATGCTTACAATAACTTTAAAACGTCTGCCTGATTTCAAAGCATTTCATTAATTTTTTTGAGTCACCCTGTATAAGCAAATCTAAAAAATATTAATGCTGTGATTTATCACGAGTATTATAGACTCATCACATTTTGCACATTTTAGATAGGATTTATTTTCAGCAAAATTGAAGGTGAAATTTTCTGGGGGCATAAGCCAGTATACATATTTTTATTAAAAATTAACTATGCTTATGATGGTAACTTTAAAACATCTCTGAAATTTCAAATCATTCGGTTTTGCAGATTCAATATTAAATTGCAAAATATTGTTACATAATTTTGATTTTTTTTTTTCAAAAAATCACGACGTTTCGCGTAAAAACTCGACACGAATTCATAAAATACACATATAGGACTAGGTTATTCTATACGAATTAAAACCCATTTACTATGTATAATTTTGAGGTGACGTTTCGGAGATAATCTGTCTAACAGAAATCGACACAGAAGGCGGGCAGACAGACAGACAGACAGACAGACGGAAACGGGAGACCAATTTTTTCGTAATCCAGGGGTCTTGATCCATCGAGAAAATTTGAAAGCAGCCAGTCGCCTGATTGGACTCGATTACAATACTTCCTTAGCTTACGCTCGAGAAGTAAAAATCTAAGCACGTTAAATCTAAGCATGTTAAATCTAAGCTACGAGCTGGCCAAGAAGTGGAGCCTCTATTGCCGATTCAGATTTCGTCAAAGATATTTTTTGGAAGAAATATAGTTCAAAATTTTTAACGTTAAAAATTAAAACGACAATACACTGTAACCAGATTAATATAATCGTTTAGACATTTATAACAAGCGATCAAACAAACAACACCTCTAGTTAGTTCTCGATACTCAAACGTTTTCTGAACATATGACGTAGCTAGCATCTAACAATATGAGGTTAGATCAATAATTCGTATAATGACAGATAGTCTACAGATAAGAACAATGACAGAAATTACAGTTTGACATTGACAGATGTGCGATTATGATGTTAGCTACGCCATACGGTCAAAAAAAGATTTGTGCATCTGGTAGTACCTAGAATGGAATCTTTTTGATCACTGAATAGGTTATAATAATATAACGTTAATATAATAAATAAAAAATAAAACATTTTCGACAAGCACCACAAAAATATGATGGTAGACCAAGATTTCTGACGTTACAAGTTAACAGTGTAATTGTGTTTGCAAGTCTGTTTCAGTTAACTAAGTATATCTTTTCATTTAGAAAATTTAAAAGTCAAAAATATACGTTGTTGTTCAAAAATATATAGATTTATGTCGCGCCGCCGACGCCATATATGTGTTATATTTACAATGCACTAAATCAAACGTCTCCCTTCAAGATAAAAGCAATGGCTTTTACAGAATTTGAATATTTCTATCCGTTTGCAAGATATAAGGCTCACCATTATAACATATTCATCATTAAAATCGTACAGAAAATTTTGTAGGGCACGTGAGTTGCGAGTACACAATCCGACTAAAATCTCGTTGGAACGAAACTTCACAACGATATTGTAATAACGTTTTTTCACTAGCAGCCTGGACGCATGCAAATGTCGACTCATTTAGTGGTAGCAAATTCAACTTTTGCTACCACCGGTTCAAAAAGAAAAATTGAGGTTATGTACGCAATGTTTGATGTGATTATTTCTTAAAAAATGAACAAATGTGTGCTACAAACATTACTTGAGTATACGCATGGTAGTTGGTAGATGGTACAAGATAAAATGATTAACTCAGCGACAAATATAAACGGTTTTCTTTGTGTTGAAGATTTAGATTAAGTTTGATTAGAAATCAAAACAAAATCATGTTGTGTCAAAAAATTGAACGTTTATTTTTCAGTTTATTGTCTTATGGTTTCTACTAGTGAAAAAAATAGTATATTAACCACGGTTGCAAAGCCACTTCTAGACCTCGCCCTTAGAGCCCTCGACGCTGCACGTCTCGGGTTCTAATTTGCGCTCGGTCTAGAATGCTTGGCTCTGCAACCTTGGCTAATAATATACTATTTCATCCCACTGGTAATTAATAATTAGTCCGAAAAGTCTATGCTTTTTTCTCAGTTACCACAAAAAGTTATATTGCCAGTTCATAAAACTGAAAATAAGGGGAAAAGCAATAACAAAACCTGAGTATATAGTGGACAATAGCATTTGCATAAGCTAATAAGGGCGGACGGTGGGGTCATACACCCTTAACTGTTCAAAATTATTAGCAAAAGACCAAGTTAGTCGGCTTTCACAGACGCGACACCATTACTTTAGATGGAAATTTTCAAGCACCGTACGCAATTAGAATCCGATTTTTTGCAAACAGAGGGGAAATTGTCTTTAATATAATAGTTATTATCGGTATTCCTAACAAACAGCATTGCAGCGAAATTTTATTAATAACTTTTGTGACACAAAGTCTAGACAATAACGCAAGGTAAACGAGAGTAAAATTTCTAGCCGTTTATAACGAACCGGAATACTTGAATATTCATTAATCTCGAAAGAACAACAATCACAGGAGGATATTTTGACCAACAAAAGTTCCCTTCGACAAAGTTTTCATAACTTTTGTCCCTTGTTATAGCTTATATTACATCAAACTCATGATAACTAATTAAAGATAGCCAATAGATATACTTATCAACAAATATTAATTTGATGTCATAAATAAAAACCTTTCATAAATAAACTAGCTTTTTTCTAAAGTTCAGCCGATCATACTTTCCGAAATACCTCGATACCTTTTATATTCGAAAACTATAACTGTAAACTTGACATTTTTTTTTTTTTATGAACACAAATTGACGTGTCAACTACAATTTTCTCTTGCTTCACACATCATCAATTTATTTCAAAAAATGTGCACGTAATTTTTTTATTCCTTTCAGGATTGGTTCCAACGAGCTAATGGGTTGCACAGCAATAGGTTCGAGTTTTATCGGGATTGGTAAAGATCATTGGCTGGAAATGCTCGACAATCCCAGAAGACCCGTAGCGCAGTGGTATCCACTTTTAGAGTCAATACCGGGCCACATTCCCGCCGCTTCTAACGATTCAACCACCATCAGTCTGAGCTGCCTCAACAGCAGGTAATTCGTCCCTAAATCCCCGGTTTCGCGTCTTACCGATAAATGTTTCAGGTGAACTTCCTCGTAATGCGAAATTAAGAGAAACAGTCAAACCATTGGTGCTGCGATGATCATGAAAGGGAAAGCAAGTCAATCCCGTAGGTTGTCAGTATTCAGTGTCTATTTGAAGACTTTCCAAAAAAAAAACAATTCGCTATAATGTGTGTGAACAATAAGCAACAATGTTGTATTGTAGGTTATTTTCGGTTTTATTGTATGATTGACAATACCGATGCATATCAGCTCTTCATTGTACCGAGAGATGAGTTGTAGCATACCATTCCTGGTTTTACCGAATCTTTTGTGTTTAATTAGAGAGATGTATTTACATTGGATAATTAATGCAAATGTTTCGGCCTACCGGAGAAAAAATTTGCAGTTTCCGACAAGTCCAGCCAAATACATCTTCTAAAAGTTGGCAAGTATGTGCTCAACACTCAATGTTATGTTATATTCAAGTATACTTGTAGATTAATTATGGATCTACGTGTCTGAATATCAATTATGCATGTTTGTTATCAGCTTGTTAAAATAAGAGAAATTATTTTAAATATATATACTGTACTCACATGTTTTTGCACAATGTATTATTTATTACCCTTTCAACCCCTGAACCCACAATTATTATGATTGCATTTTATTTAAAATTCTATGTCTATAACTATAAAAACTGTAAAATTATTACCACAATCAAGCCATTGCAAACTAATTTAATAAACCAAACCAACTGGGTTCAATTGTTAATTTCATTTTTATAGAATACTATTTTGATAAATGAACACCACCAAAATACATGGAATTCAACATAGACTTTGATTTTAAAATGTTACACGAAAGAACTCAAGGCAGTGCTGTTCTTTCGTTAAAAACACCGAATTTCCAAAAAGCCGATGCATAAATTTAGAACAATGTATCCGAAAATTTTCATATTTGTGTATTTGTTACCCTCAATAACTGAATCCTACTTGTTAAAACGGCATAGTCAAGCCCATTTTCCTATAAATTTTTATCGAGTTAGATTTACTTTCTGAACAGAAATCCGCGAACAACTTTACCACTGATCAATATGAAAAATTTCGACAATAAAGCAAGCGCTGTTCAAAATATTAAAACGCGTTTTATTTAGTAAAAATGAATTTTCCTAGAGAAATTTACTGATATTAGGGAAACTAAATAGTTAGAATGATAAAAAAACTAGCAAATTTTATTTGTTAAACAAATAATGGAATAACCGATAAATAATAAATAATGACAATCTGTCCACAGTTTATGTACCGACTCTTTCAGAAATGTAGTAGGTATTTAAAAAATAATAACATTGCAGCGAAATCTGCCATATAAAATTTATGGACTTTATCGCTGAGAGTGGGTAAGTTTTATTTTCCCCTTTTTTGAGATTTATTCATTTATTCCAGTTGTTTGAATTATAGATAGCGATTATAAAGGCGACACTTTTATAAAAGAACTAAAAACAAAGCCCTAGAAAAAACTTTATAAGTTACTTAACGCTAACGCACATTATTACCCTCATATGATTATACAACTCGCCTAATGTCTCATTATGAGCGAACTTCACACTGCTATAGTAATAAAGCTTTTATCTCACTTGTAACGTAAAAAATTTTATCTGCGACCTACATGATACCACTTATTATGACGGTTATTTGAGTTATGTAATCTTCAATATTATTCCACTAGTGGTGCAATGAAATTTATTACACAACTCATTTTGATCGTCAAGAATAAATTTATAAACTTAGAGATGGAACATTTTATTTAAGTAAATTACAAACAATAAAACAATATCAATGTTTTCGCAACTGGATATATTGATACCAGCTGATGTCGTTAACTGTGCCGTGTTTTTACTCACTATTTGCAGTGATGTATTGTTCGTACAAGAATTAATTGCCATAATTTCTTCTAAAACTTCCAACTCTCCAACTTTTTATTTTCTTTTAATGTATCAGTGTACCTCTCCACCACTGTATTCGTTTTTCAACTTGGCGTTTTACAGCTAAAAGATCTGCTCCAGAGTCTGCAAGCATCGAATTAGAAGATCGTCTGAAGCAATGCCCAGGGTATTCTTTAGGATCTGATAAATTCAAAAATGTTGCGATATTTTTTGACAAATCTTTCCTTTATGCAAGAATAAATCTTCCATGCTTGGTATGCTGAGAACGTAATGGCAAATATTTCCTAATTATTTCCACCATATCAAGTCCCTGGATGCCACCCACTGTTACCAAAAATTCTCTAGAAATTTTGATTTTGGGGTTCGAGATTTGTATATGGAAAATCAACCCTCATCCTTAATATTTTTTATGGACAAATTAGTGAGCTTTTCTTTTCTGCAAGCTCCAGCAATGCCAATTATCAATGCAACCTAAGAAAATTATGATTCAAAATAATTTGAAGACATTTTAGGCATATCTTACCTTAGTAAGCAAAAACTGCTTATCGTTAGCTTCTTTCAGGAACCTTCTAACCTCATTTTTCGTCAATATTTTTAACTTCTTGGGTCTGTACCTTTCTGACTGTCTTTTTAGAAATACAATCAACTGCTTGCATTTGCTTATCTCAACATTGTTTTTCGTAGAAATCGTCGCCCTCAGCATTGAATAGACAGCCCGAACACTGGAGGATTTGCACTTTTTCGACAGACTGTCGAAGTACACCAGCAGAACCTTAAAATCACTCGTGAGTTTGAGAACGGATACAAATTTTGAAATTCTGTAAACGCCATTGCTTTTAGCTTGAAAGATAAAATTTATTTAATGCATTGCAAATATGACGTGGCGACGTCGCAACGCAAACTTATATTTTTAAATTAAAATGTATGTTTGTTTAAAGCCAGCGCCTACGTTTTCTGCGTGGAATTTTCGAATGTAATACATATGTACATTATTAACAGAATTATGGTTGCTAAATTTTAAATATAACCTGTCCACAAGTTACTTTATACATATATATAGCGTAACATCACCTTTGTTTAAAACAGTTTGTTATTATCCTTTTTTTAAATTTTAGTGAAATTTTTACATAACGTATATTTAAAAATCAATATCTCAATTATTTAAGTAAATTTCGGAACGCGGTTTCCAACACTGTTTTCAGCTTACAAAACTCCAGAAATCGTATCAGATATATCGTCGACTTTTTTGTTAGAAACGAGATAGAGTAAAAAAAAAGCTTGCGTCATAGGAGCTGCTACGTTTCTTTTTACTGTACCTCAGTTCCAACAAATAAAGTCGAAAATGTATCTAGTACAATTTCTAAAGTTTTGTAAGCTGTAAGCAGTGGTAACCATGTTCCAAAATTTCGATAAATAATTGAAATACTGAATTTTAAAATTTGTAAATATAAAAAAATGGAAGATAAATGAAATAAAGGATTACCACAGTATTTTACAGTCAATAAAATCTGTTTCAAAAACATGTCATTTAAGCATATATTCCAACTGTCGTCTTTCACACTGAACCAAAAAAGTCTGTTGTGCCTGCGCTATACATATAGTACTGCATACATTCTTTAGTTTAGACTCTTCATTTTAGCACAATGTGCATTATACCTCAGCTTAAATGACTGTTGCTCAAACAGAACAATGTCTTTAGGTAGTGAGTTCCACTCATCAAAAACCCCATTAGTTATAAATTTCTGCCTGTATATGGTACGAAACTTATTGTCCTTGCTCAGTTTGAAAGGATGACCCCTTTATCAACAAAAAATGAAATAAACCTAAGTATTTTACATCACTGTAATCAAAATTTGATGGTCTATCAAAATCCGTTAAAAAAATGTACATTGTAATTTAACAAAATATAGGTTAGCATTGCAACTCGACGCCATATATGCGTCATATTTGCAGTGTACTAAATTAAGCTTCCCCCTTTAAGCCGAAAACAACGACATTTACAGAATTTCAATATTTCTTTCTGTTCTCAAAATATAAGACCGCGGAATTTTATCCAGGACATACATAGATTGGAAGATGCTTTACGCTCAAACCATTAAATGATATGTTTCGTTTTTTAATATTTATTCGTTATTTATCATGGCCACACAAGCGGTGAGAGAACTACAAAATCATTTCTTTCATGTTTAACTCCAAACGTAAAATCAATGAAAAAATTAAGATTCTGCTTGAAATGTTTTTTATTTTCCTATAATCCTTCTTATCCAATTCCGCGTCTTTTAATTTCACTGACCCGAAAAATCCCCTATGTGAGGCAATGTTACGGTGAATGAAACTTTGATGTCGGTTCTTATAAACAGTGAGCAAAACCGCTAAACCAAACAACTTTTATTATAATAATAATTCTAATTACAACAACGCATAACATTGCCCTTATTTCTGCGACCCAAACGATGGCTGCGGTCCTTTATCCGAGTCCCTTACCAAACGGACGGTTCTTCCCCTCGAAATGTATTTAAACTACTTCCCCTTTCTAGAATGTTTCCGTTTCTAGAGGTTTCGAACACCAGCACTTTCCTTGCATTACGAATTTAGGACAGCTATTTCTCCGGATTTGTGGAAGAGGTTTCGTAATTTTCAAAATACTTTTGTAATCAGCACGTGTAGTTTTCGAAAAGTATTACAACCTTTCCATCGGGCGAGCAAGATAATTTGTAATCGAATCATCCTTGGAATCGAATCCGTATGTCTTCTCTGAAGTGATATGTTTAAAAAGCGACGTCTTAGGAAGGTTTTAACAAGAATAATTTTATTTGTCGATAAACATTTAAAATAGAAACCCAAAAAGGCAAAAACTAAAATCCTTATAAACTGATTTTTACATTGGTTTAAATTTATTCAGAATCTCGCTGTAACTTTAACAACTGCCAAATAGACGTCCCTTCTAACCTACTTTTCTTGTTTTCTTGCTTGTTGTTGCCTCCTGGAGAAATACTCTGTATATTAAAAACAGTTCTTTTCAGGACTTTATTTGCGTATTTGGTAAACGATTATGTTACTAACTGGTTTATTCATGTAATTCTCTTCAAGGTAACCTTTAACTCCAGTTCCAGATCAGCAAGACATTTTTTTTAAGAACCGAATCACTAGTCAAAATACAGAGAATATCTAGCCTCCGAGATCTCGTGATCTTACTCCTCCAGACTTTTTTGTAGAAAAAGTTTGTTAAAGAACACTATTTTTTCTTCACACTTATTTTATTTAAAATTACACTATACTAGAAATTGTCTGTCATTTCTGTTTTTACATTTGTCATTTTTTTTTATATTTATCAGTGTGGTTTAATCATCGACATGCTAAATCCGTTCCAATGACGACTTGATTACAAATTATGTTGATCGCCCGATACATTAAGCATATACTCCTAAAATATTAAATAAAATAACTAATAGAAGCCCCGAAGTAATGCGATCCCCCTTTTGAAAAATACACAAAATTAACTGACGAACGAGAAATCAATGAATGATTAATCAAATTTTTAGACACAACACCTTGTTGTTTTCATTGTTGTTATTTTCATCTAAAATCAACATTAAACATAATACTATAACAAACCCTCATTATTCAGTATAATTACAATGCGGAAACACTTAAACAGCTCAATAAATTTTTATTGCGCCACAAACCTCAAGGGTTTTTTTAAAAAAACCTGCACATTTACAATCAATAGACGTTTTAAAAATAACAGGCTACCGGTTTAAAGCCTCAATCGATAATATCCTTATTTACAATCTCCATGACGACCCTTATTCCCAGTAGTGCAGCGTTAAATTGCAGCCATGCCTCCAAATTTGGACGACAATTTACTTAACAGGCCATCTTCGGACCTCATCTTGTTTATGGCCCCATTGCTGCCTAACGGTCCGGTCTCCGACGACGACAGCGACGAGGAAATCGCCCCTGAACTTGAAGAAGAAGATATAGTCTCGGACTTGTCGCAAATTCTTATCCCTCTGGAGCAGAACCTGCGAGCGCTTTTGGTAATAACTTATACAAAATATTTGCGAAAGAAAATGCCGTTAAGTTTGAATATTTGTCACCGCTCGGCTCTAGCCAACTTTATTTGTAGTGTGGTAGTGCGACGCCATTGTCGTTGATCGATACAGTAATCTTCTTTAAGGTGTTGACATAACACTATAATATAAAAACACTTGTCGTATTCAGGTTGCTGCAAATTTGCTAAATATTAAAGTGTATGTCATCCTTACCACAATTAAGTAATAGTATACCTTATTATTCATGAAACAATTTACTAAACTATAGTGAGAATGACGTAAATAAGTGTTAAAAATTTCAAATTTATGACTAAGAGAACTAGCGCCTCATATTACAAATAAATTCAGGACACATTTTAAGCTAAATAACCAGTTCAATATACTGCAATAAATTTTCATTAATTTGTCTTACCTTTGGATTACTTGTAACAGTAACAACATGAAAACAAATAAATGTTAGATTGTGGAATATAAATAATTTAAATATTCTCAAACATGAATGACGTCACAGTTGTAAATAAATGACATGCGATAACATTTATTTATAGATTATAGTTTGCGAATTAAAGTTAAAAACTTCTGTGCCCACTATTGTAAAATCTAGTGGATGCACCAGGAAACAGTGAAATATTAATTTTACGAATTCCTGAAAAAACAATAAAAAATTCTAACACAAATACAGTCATGTGTAAAAAAATTCAATAAAACTTTAGTAATTCGATTTACGAAATTATAAAATCATGTTATCAATATTATTAAAATATAGTTGATTCAATTTACAACCTTACCATGGAAAATTAGTACTTATACAGGGTTTCTATAAATGAATATAAGGTTGAAAAAGGTCGTGTAAACGTTTCTCAGTTTTGGACTATACTAAATGCCCAAGGACACACGATAAATACCACACTCATTTGTAAAACTTTATATCTTAAAAAACAAAACTAATTCATTAAACAAATTTATTGCGGCTAAACATCACAGTAAATATTGAAAATGTTCACCACTTTGTTCAAAGCACTTTCTTTTTAATTTCAAAAATGTTCTGTAACATCCTTTCGTCAATACTTTGGACCCATTGTTCAATTTCATATTGCAACAGGAACTCCTGACTGCGGAAGAAATTTTGTCAAAGATGTTTACGGATTCTACTCAAGTCGTCTCAAATCATCAACAACTTCCTCAGATACTAAGGTCTTCCAGGACATTTCCCTTTGTCGTCACTGCCAGTTCGAACAGATCTGTTGATTACATCTCTGATGTGAACCTCTAAAGATGTTTCTTGAATTATCATATCACGGTATTTGACCAGATATTCTTGCTTACAAGCGGTTACAGAATACAAACACTCTTCGTTTATGAAGGTCCCATTGCGATAAGAAAACAACAATGAAAGTGAAGAATTACTGTAATTCACACTTGAAAAACGTTAAAACAATAAAAACTATGAGTTTAAATGATATTAATGACAAGTAAGAACTGTCATAATCAGGCATAATTTCAGCGAAGTGGGGATTTTTAAAATCCATGGCCAACTACGCCCTTAGAATCATTTATAAAAACCCTGTGTTTGTTCATTATTAACAGAGGAAACATTATTTGATCTAGACTGTACTTACTGACTTGCTGAATCCTGAGTCTGTTTACCCTTGCGGGAGTCAGGTAGGTGGTTGAGTTATTCTCTCGACTTCCTTTTCCATGTCTCCTTTCGTGCTTTTCTGTCTTGTGCTTGTTTCCGTATCACGTTGCAACCTCTCTTTTCGGCAGCCACTTTAATTTCCTGTCTCCACATTTTTCTTACTATATTTTTCTTCGTTTTCTGTTGATTATTCTACCTTTGTATATTCTTAGAACTGAGCTGTCTTCCCTCATTTTCATTACGTGTCCTAACAAGTTTAGTTGTCACTCTTCTATTAAAGTTCGTACTGGTGTCGTCTGTAGTTTTTCTCTGGGCACGGTGGTTTTTATTTTATCTAATCTTATTTTTACTTCATCTAATATTATTTTTACTTCGATTTTTCTAAGAAACCTCATCTTGGAGCTTTGTATTTTCCCCTTTTGACTCTTTGTTGTCATACAAACTTCAGACTCAAATGTAAAGTATATTTTTGTTTTTAATTGTTTAAGTATCTCTTTTTAGCTTAAGAAGGTACGCTTTATAGTGTTAAAAAGTTGTTTGTTAAAGCATTTTATAGCAGCACTATTGTCATGAAAAACAATCTTTTAGAATAAAATTTTGATTTTTTTCCTAAATCAGCATTAATTAAAAAACTGATAAATACAAATAGCTACAGTGCACTTCAAAGAAAATTAATAATAACTGGGATTCTTGAGTAAAACAGACATAACAGTTTTTCATACATTGAAAGATCAAAATAAATCAAACGAAAATAAAATATGTGCTTTTAAAGGAGAAGCCTCATATGAAATTGGAAACTACACATAACTTCCACTAATATTAAACTTCCGTAACTTCTAACACAAAAATCTGACTCCTTACGCTTGCGTATTGCTTATTTCCTTTAAAATTATGAACAATAAACATTACCAATAAATTTATTTCACTCTGTGGGAACAAAATGTGGAATAAATATTTTATATTTCACTTTAATTTAGTGTGAATTTACTACAAGAGTGGTAGCAATTGTTATATTATTAGAAAATTTGGTTTTAATATAAGCTTCGCGGGGGAAAAATGAATTTCCATATTTGTACCCGGCGCCTCCACCATTCTGATAACATCAGACCCAAAGTTAACATTTATAAATTGAAGATTATTTGGTCTATTTGTGAAATGTTATCAAAAGCATTTCATATTACGATGTTTAATATCACCATAATAATAATAACAATAAATAATAGATAGTAAATACTGGTTAAGTTATTTTATTTTAGTTATGATTCAATAATTTACCTGTTAACTTTATTTTCTTTAAAAAATTGGTCGAAAGTTACTTCGACAGGACTTCCCTCGCCCCTAAATTACAGTACAACAAATTCCGCGTCTTCAAAAAAATTAAAAAAAAGAGTTTACAAACTTTTCTTTGTGATAACCTCTATACATTAAAACAAATAGATAAATAATACCAGTAACAGTCTACGACATTCAATGAAATCCTATAAATATGTTTTAACACCCTGTGTTTTTTGTTTGCCTATGACATCCCATTTCTTTTTGACACTGTATATATATTTTTTTAGAAATTCTTAGAGCTTGTCTTTCTGAATTCATTAATATGCATTATGTTATGACAACACACTTGTGCTGTCGTTCCTGTCGCCGATCCATGATAGGAAGCGAATTAACAATTGCTCCAAAAATATGAATGCACTGACGAAGTAAGCCTGTACTAGTGAGTTTTCCCGTTTAAAAATATTCCGAACAACATTATTTCAGCAAGGAAACGCATGTCAATTCCAACACGTACAGTGTAAAACTAATAATAAAACACTGGGATGTACCGTCCTTGAAATTTGATCAATAAAAAATATATAATAGACAATAACAGATAGCAGTAACTGTGTAAAAACCAAAAACTTCACACCAGTTCGAACGTGCGCGGTTTTCGTATCCGAAGGAGAACACTACACTGTATGACAACCTTGTACAATTTCGATTTTTTTTTTTTTGAAAAATTTGAATGCCTTGGGAAAAATCTGAAGACGAATTCATAAACAACAAACGCAGGAGTATATTATTTTACAAAATTAAATCCTACTTACTATGTTTTCATATTTTGATATGTAATTTTGAGGGGATGTCATCACTTTGGTGGCGAGGATGATTTGCCCAATTTTGGTTAGCGTTTTACCATCTACACGAGATTTCTAACATAGATATAAAATTTGACAACATTCGGTGCGGTAGTTTTTATAATTAGTTTATTAAAATAAATTAAAACTAATTATTATCAGAGACCGAACTAGTGCTTCAGGTAGGCTCGCGTCCTCGTTCTCAATATTTTCCTCCATGAAACTGAGTTTATAATGCAATTTTTTGCGTTTTATGGCTAATGTATAGTAAGAAAGCAGCTCGATATACGTGAATTTGAATGAATAATTTAATAATTTTTTACATTACAGCCATCTGAAAACTAATCATTCCGACGGGAGATATAAGTGTACCATTGTTCGCATCGATCCGGTCTTTTATTTTTTTGGGTGTTGCGGAAAGCTTCATTTCTAAACCTGCTTGCTGTACGTAGTATTGTTCGATTTTATTTGAAAAAATCCTCCCCTGAGCATTTGCTAATGTAAGCAGCGCCCTCATATCCTTCAGTGAAGGTACGTACAACATTTATGAAGCACACGAGCGTAGATAATCACTTTTATAGTCGTTTATGATCATCAAACAATTAATGGAATCATCTGATGAGTCAGAAGAAGGTTTTGATTATGTCTCTGATTCAGAAAAAATCCTTGACCCTCCTTTTAATCTTATAGAAGAAATGTTTGTTTATTATCATCATATCTATGTAGAAATACTTTTTAAACAAAAACTAAGAAGACCAGTTGACACAACCGATAATTTTATAGTGGTGATTTACTGGTACAGTTGCGAACACGAAATCTCGGGAAGTGATGTCGTTTCACTGACACAGTTCGTGAAACAATTCTTGTCATTTTGACTTTTGACACATATGCGTCAGTCATAATGACAATAAAGCTTAAACTATATCCAGTTTTTCCACGTGACAGAAAAGCATTCCATGTGAAAAACATATTTCTCTAACCCTAAATGACTTCCTAAGTACGGTTTTTGAAAATTTGACATTGCTTGCCATTTATACTATTTGCCAAAACTAAAAAACCACCAACGTTGCATGGTACCTTGAAAATACAAGAGACAACACTGTAGTATTAAATTTGAAGTTTGTAATGGGGAAAAATAGATAAGTTAGAGCTAACTTGTAACAATAGCAGATTCAATGGTAGATTTCAGAAATGTTTTGACGTTTCAAAACGTTTTAAAGATAGAAATAAACTCAAATTCTACAAACGTTTTGACGTTCGTTGAAGATTTCGTCGGTATAAAACGCAAAATTATGAAAATCACCATTACAGTTTTTTTTGTTACCAACTACAATCAACAGGCGGTAGTTTTTAATTTTGGCAAAAACTATATGTTTCGTGAAGAGATAATATTTAATAAGATAATAGAACTGCGATATATCGCAAAACTCGTTATAATTTAGGGAAATGGTAAATCTTTGAACCTCTAAAAACTTCTAAAAGTTTCAAGAAAAGTACTAAAATTCCTTATAGAAATTTAAAAGTGCAAAACAAAACCTCAGCTAGTTTATTAACAATGCCACAAATATGGAAGCAGCTCATTTAACTTCAAAGCGTAAAATATAAAATGCTTCCAGTGTTAATATTTTGAAGTTTTCTTCGCACTTTAAAAGTATAACACTCTGTTTTTAACGAACTTGCGATAAAGTAATTTCTAAAAAAATATCATTTCGTTTTAATTTTATGGCCAATAGAGAAACGTTTGTATTTAGCGCAAAGAATACCACAAACGCTTTTATTTTTATCGTAAATCACCAACCAGAAACATGGCAAATAAAAATTTGTTCGGTTCCCGAATCCCTTTTGCAACAAATGTTTCCATCATTTACTCTTTTTAGGTACAAGTAACTGGTACGGAAGACTTGGATAGGGTAACTCAAGTGAAATTGAGGGTAATAGCCAGAGACGTGCCCCTACAACATTTCAGCGTCTACATTCCGGCCCTGAGGGAACTGATTCTGGATGGCAGTGTCGTCTCCTCGCTCAGAGACCTAGGCTGCGGACTAAAAAATTTAAAAATTTTGAGAGTAAACCGGTGTGGAATCGACTGCTTAGATAACATGCTGGGCCTGGAAAGTTTGGAAGAACTGTACGCTGCAAATAATGCGATTGAAAACTGTATGCCTTTAGCTTTTTTAAGTAATATCAAGACAGTGGATCTAAGAAGGTGAGAAATAATTTCATTAAACTTTTCATATATATACGTTGAAGTCGTCAGTAACCAGTTGAAAAATATGACACGCACGTTGGCCTTCCTGACTCTATGCGAGAAACTGGAACATATTTATCTCGAGGGAAATGCTGAAATATGGCAGTTTCCGAAGTACCGACAGACCGTTAAAAGCTTATTACCTAGACTGAGAAGTTTAGATGGCATTACCTACACTGAAGGTAAATTCGATTTTCGAGTTCTTGCATTATTCAAATGTTTATCAAATTTTAGAAGAGTCTAATACGAAAGCCTCGCCTGAAATAAATCGGGAACTTCAACAATATTTAGCACGGAAATCCGAGGAATCGGGGCCGACACCCAGAAATGTAACAGATTTAATTACGACGGTTTTATTTTATCGATTTAATTTTATACTTTTATTAAATTTTCAGACTTTATCGGATGTAATTAATGGAGCTGGCGCCCCCAGAAGTCGACCCGTTGCACCAAACAGCGCGACTGGATTCACTATAACATTCCCTCCTAAAGTATTTCTGGATAAATCTACCAATAATAAACAGTAATTGCTAATTTAATTTCAACTAGGAGAAAGCAACTATACGTAATTTGATCACTGGTTATAAAATAGAAGCACCTAAGAGAATTATCAATATTAATAAATTAGTACCTACATGCTATATTTATTGTTATTGTTACATATAATAGGACAATAAAAAGCCATCAAAACATAGTTTACCACACATTTTATTTAATGATCTGGTACATACTATCTATACAATAACACGTTTTCTTCCTTCCAACATATAACAAAGTGGAACTTTATTAATATGAAATTTTGTGGATTAACATGTTAGTTATTTTGTTCCTGGTACCTTAATACGAAATATTAAATTTATTGATTTTAAATATTCACAATATTCGATGAAACTAGCATTATATATCTTAAAATTGCCCTGTCAAACATCGTAATAGCTACAAGAAAAAGTATTAAACTCGTCAGTGTCTATTAAACTCAATGGCTGCTGATGAAGCAACGAGCTAAACATAATAAAATCTTGATGGATAAAGATAATGATAAGATTAAGAAGCAACCTATTAAGTCATATTAGCAGCTTTGTTTTTCACTGATTAAACCGTCTACGTCCGTTGCAACAGCGGTATATAACTAATTTTTTTTGTTTATTAATGAAATTATCCGAATTATAGTGAACCAAGAGTTATAAGGTTATATGGCCATCATAAAATCATCCCATTGTGTCGAAGTTAAGTTGTTTACAATAGAAAAGGTTTTAGGGTAGTAAATAACGTGTCCACTGCAGCTCGACCGGCTCTTGTGGTTTCGTTCAGGGGCGGCTTTCACTAAATATGAAAATCCACCACTCCACTATTTCTTTATTACCTGCAGCCGCTGAGGGTTCCAAAATAACCACTCGCTTTGAAAGCCGGCCCTGTTAAATATGAGCAAGAAATGTTTAGATGATGATTTATTGCCAACCGGTAAGCTTAGTGCGAACCACACAAAGGGGGTATTTATTTGCGGTCAACTACTTTTATGATGGCCATATAACCTTATAGCTCTTGGTTCACTCTACTTACTAGATAATTCTATAAAATTAGCAATATAAAGCGACTTAATAGTCAAACTTAATTTTGATGGAAGCAGTAATTAAACATAACTAATCGTCCATGCTATATTAACTGAAGAGTGAACAGTGGCAGCCAAATCGTCATACGACTTATTTTTTAAACCTTAAATTACGAAAGTATAAATTACATAATCTCAAGAAAGGAAATAAATGTTTAATGATGTCATATCATCATCACAGCAACGAATATATACTCAACTTATTCACTGGAAGGTGCTCATTTTTATTATGCCTTTATGGCTGCATTGGTTATGCAAAATGTACAAAAATGTTTGCATGGAACTTCAAAAAATATATTCCTAATCGTAAAATTCTCCGATTCACCAATAACCTCAGCAACATTATTCATTTTGCCAGTCACATTGTGTGGATGTACATATTTTCGAACTAGCCGAATGTCACGTAATAGTTAAATACGTTTTGTTGTATACATACTCAATATAAATTAACTGAAACCTGCGAAAAAAAGTGGATATCATTTTCTCCTCTTTCTCATAAAAAACAATAATTTCAAATTAGTTAATCATACATTTATTTCGACATTGTATGAAGCAATTTTGAGTCACTGACCTCATCGTTTTATCAACATACCTCCATAAAAAATTTCGTAAATTTTTAATTAATTAAGTACATAAAAAAAGAAGAAAATGAAAAGTGAATTATATTTTTCCCAATTTCTACTAATAAAATGCTCATTTTATATGTTAAATCTCGCTATTAAAATAACAGTTTAATCGAAAGGAAGAATAAAATGTTTATAGCAACACTTTAGTCACACTGTCATTGACAACACGAATAAAGTAAAAAAAACTAAAAATTCGCACTACCACTGAAATTTTCGTTGCTATGGATGTGTGGATATTCAACTAAAATTTGCAACGCTTGATAGTCCACCTCCTGTAAAACAATCTTAATGAAAGCCCAGGAGCATGGTTTGAATTTGACCGTGACGAAAGTACAGGCAGCTTAGGCAATTTACCTTCTTCAAATGTTCATCATATTAGTAATAGTACAATTAATATTTATGTATATGGATTACCTAAACAATAAATTTTTTGAAAAATTTTGCGAAATTGGAAAAAATCTTGTATGATACACGTGAATAAACTAATTTTACCCACTCAAAAACATTATCACACTCAGCTTCGCCTCGCGTGCTAAACTGTTTTTTCGTTGGATAAAATTCACTTTTATTCAGTTATACCATAAAGCTATTTTAATGTTTAAAACTGACTACAAATATTTTTGACAAATGGCAACTAACGTGAATATTATATGTTAGTGTCATTTAACACCCAATTAACTATTCTTTAGTAACTAAAACCTCCTAAATTATAAAAAAATAATTAATAATTTCGAAATTGGAGTGTTGGTACATCACTACAAAACATTAACACTACGGAAACCAAAAAAAATTATTATTATTATTATTAATACTCTTTCAACAGGCTAGGGCTCCTTTAATGAAAGACATACACGTGAAAAAGGAGACAAAAAACAAAAAAAAAAAAAAAGAAAAACATAGAATACATGAAAGTGAGTGCAGGATAGTAGCTACCATTATAATTTGTAACGCTTTAGTACCATTAGTTTTTGGTCGTGGTGCCTCTAAGACTGAACTAAATCTTAAGTTAGTTCCTCAGGCTTTGAAGTAAAAAAGGTTCAGAATATCTTCACAATCTTCTACTGAATGTACAATATTGTGCAACAACATAAGAGAGGCAATATTCCGGCGACATAATAAACTTTGTATTTTAAAGCGTTTGAGATACACATCGTTTGGAATACCTCTAGGAGGATACACACCATCATCTAGGAAACTTAAGAACTTCAAGAATCTGCGTTGAACTTTTTCGAATGCCGAAATGTGACAATTATATATGGGACTTCACACAACCGATGAATACTCTAGCCGTGAATGAACATAAGTGAAAAACAGAAGTGACAAAACTTCTTTGTCTTGTATAGCAATCGAGATGCGGATGACGAGACCTAGAGACCTATACGCCAAGGCTGAAAGATTCTCAATATGTTTGTCAAACTTTAACTTTCTGTCGAAGGTGACACCAAGATCACAGATGTATTCTGGTCGTTCTAGTATAGAATCATCAATTGTGTAATTGTAGAACAAACATTTTATCTTTCTGAAATAGGATTTAACAAAACATTTATCTTTGTTTAGAAGGAATTCGTTACTGACTGACCGGTTATACAATCTGTTTAGATTATTCTGAAGACGCACACAGTCATCTGTTGTTTTAACATCGCAGATTAGTTTGAGATCGTCAGCATACATAAGATACTCTACATCAATTTGTTGTCCAACATCATCTATGAAGATCTTGAATAGTATAGAACCAAACACAGACCCCGAGGTTTGACGAAACTTTCTAGAGTAAAAGCCCTGATAATACACATACTGACACCTTTCATGTAACTATGATGAAGAGATTAATCAAGTCATTCGAGAAACCAAAAGAATATAATTTAAGCAATAAAATTCTACGATTTATGCGATCAAACGCCTTAGAAAAATCTGCATATATATGCAGTCCACCTGACTACACTGATCTAAATAGTCTGAAATACACTGTGTTTTTAAAAATAAGTTTGTGGTTGTTGACTTTCCCTTTCTAAAACCATGTTGATTTGAGGACAAATAAGTGGAAACGTGATTACATATTCGAGAATGAAGCAGGATTTCAAACATCTTTGCAAAATTGTTAATAATTGTGATTGGACGATAATTTGTTATGTCACTTGTGCTATTTTTCTTATGGACAGGTGTAATGCGTGATAGTTTTCACTTTTCTGTAAAAATAGATGTTCTTAATGTCAAATTAAAAATAACAGACAACGGTTTACGTAAAACTGACGCACACTCACGAATGAGAAATGAGGGAATAGCATCTGGACTAGCTGTCAAACTTGGTTTAAGTTTTTTAATCGAATTGCAAATTTCTCTGGAATCAACATTTTTAACATATAAGATGTTTTTATTTAAACTACTGAAGTTTTCCTCAAATACTACGGAGTTGGCGTTATTATCTTGTTTGAATGATTTAACAAACGATTCAGCAAACGCATTGAGTGTGGTGACATTAAATCGCTGTCATTATACTTCATCACATTGGGTATTCCGTGCTCTTTCGTTTTGTTTTTAATAAAAGCCCAAAATTGTTTTGGATTTATTTTTATTTCTTCTGTAATACGCCGTAAATAATTTTTATGAGCATTTCTAATTAAAATTTTTACTTTATTGCGGTGCATTTTAAATATTTCAAAAGATTCAACTGATTTATCATTTTTGTACTTTATCCAAGCTTTGTGTTTTTGTTTAAGATTAACTATAATTTCTTTGTTAAACCATTCTGGGTAATTTCTGGTTGGCTGCCTTTTCTTGGGCATAAAAAAAATTGAAAATTTTATACTTAACTTGTCATAAAGTAATTCAACAGCCCTGTTCACATCTGTTATGGAATTTAGAAAGGAAAAGTCAGTTTCTGCTACGTTGCCATATAAGGATGGAAAATCAGCTTTTTTAAAATTAAATTCGCCATCATTCCTGGTGCGAATGTGTGCTAACTTATTTTTTACATTTTTTACAGTAATCTCTAAGGCAGGATGATGCACATCTTCTGAAGTTAGTATTTCTTCTGAGTGGATTACCGAGCATTCGACATCGCATAAAACTAAATCTAAGACTCGCGCATCTAAATTTGAAAAATATGTGAAGGAGATGAAAGTGTACTAACAATGACGATGAAAATAAAATTTAATGGAGAAATTTGCATTTGCATCAGAGGGAGCAACTCAACTATATTTAGAAGCTCTTCATGGTTGGCAATTTTCTAACGAATTATTACGGGGTGATTCACGAGAAGCTCTTTGCATAAAAATTAAAAATGCAACCATTAATACAATTACATGGCAGTATTTTAACAATTTGGTTTTGTTTTGTTATACTTTTGTTATATTCTCATGATATAGGTAACTTAACTTGCCTATCACAAAATTGTAAAGTAAATGTTATCACTACGACATTTTTTTAATGTTACATATTTTTACTTTGGTAAAAGTAGGTATAAATGAGTATAAATCATTTTAATTAAAAAACAAATATTTCATTCGCAATGCTAAACATTATTGCTATCATCCCAGCGAATGGGGAAGAGAGGATTTATGTATTTAATCGTCTAATAATATAAGCAAACAAACTGAAGAAACTGAGAGGTTAGTAACTTAATTTGGAAAAAAATATCATCTTCAAGAAAACAACTAAAAATGAAGTTAAACGATATACTATACTATAACTATTGGACATTTTAGAATCTATCGTCAAAGTACTATGGTCTCAGAACATGTAAGTAAAAATTAAGTATCACGTTAAAATTTTGTTAATTTAATTGAACATTTGGTTAAAAGAACAAGAATGAAACGCTGTCTGTTAATCTCAGTGATTTATTTTAATGAATATGAATATTAGGAAGCATACATCATAATGAATTATTTTACCTCTTTTAGGTAGGTATGTTGTTACAAAGGAATCATTCAATCATTTAGTGAAACCGTCTAATTACGTATATTTTCAGCATTTGAATTTAGCTCTCTTTAAAAAAACTTCTATGCGCCTGTCTGTACTTCTGTAAACATAAAGATTTTTTTGCTTTAGTTTATCAGCGCTCCTCGATCATCATCACTTCAGAACTTTATGGGGCAATGTGTGTTGCTGGTTGCATACGTGTAAACGTCAAGTCAAGAAACATGCTAAATTGACAAGTGGCACATAAACATGACACCATCCCTTAAAATATCACAAAAAGTTATAGATGTAAGTCAAATTTTCATTTCAATTGATAAACTGATATTTTGTATGTAACTTCTAATTAATGTGACATTTTTTAATGGAATCAAGTAACATATGCTCCTAACCTTACTTCTAGAGACTTTCCCAAGAAAAACTCAATTTTTTTGGAAAACTTTATGGAATTGTCGTTAAAAATAACCTTATTGTTATCGAATTACAAGTAAATGAGGGTGAAGAATGCAATAACTCTTTCATTAATTCACTACCAGCTGAAATTTATCTCTGCGGAGTAATTCAAACTGGAGATGGACTATACAATGAGCAGTCAATTAAGGAAAGCTTATCCGAAGTATACGTTACCGACAATCCTGTTTTTGTTAGTTATAAAGTAGAAGGTTGCCAGATTACAGCCAGTTTTTATATAAATGGGCAACTTGAAGTTACAAAGTTCACACCCATCAGTGAACAGGAAATTTTATCACAATTCCTTTATACAAGATTAACCACCAGTGTGCCTTTCACATCTGAATTAACAACAAATAGCATCAAGGAAAGTTTTACCAATTTAAGAAAAAATGTGTCCTCAGGTGTTATGACCTTTGGATTTACCCAAAACAATATATATTTACTGGGAGGTGACACTGAAAATGGGGTAGTAGGAGTAACGGGAAATCCTACCATTGGAGAAATATGTGATGAGTCAAATGATCCTGCTGAGGGAGGTACCAGAAAAAAGAGAAGCCAGCAGCTGTATAATGTCGATGTCTTTGAAGTGAAAATGTTGAAAAGAATGACGAATGAAAATGGGTTGTCTGGTGGAAAAGAACATGCACCACTTTGTGTTCTAGATAAGAGTAAGTATTTAATTACACAATTAGTTATATCTCACTCTATTTAATTAATTATGCAGTTCCCATCTTGTATTTTATTTAAATGGGTGTAAGTTTTTAAAACTACTATCTGTGTAGACAAATTAAAACTGTGTAAAAAAATTATTTAGGAAGTTTGAACATTTATTGCACTTTTTCTATATTTTTTGTGAAAAATGTATTGTTTAATGAGTGCAGTAACACAAAAATTTATATTAAAATTCAATAACTCAAAAAAATTTTGGCTATACCAATTTCTTGTTACAATTACGTATGTCCTTTAATGTTCAAATATAATAATAATTCATTTCTTATGCTGGAACATTCGCCTCTATTTATGAAATTTATATTACCCATTTTGATGTAACGTAAATCCTTCCAGTAATGTTTTTTGCTACACTCTGTAGAAGTAGTTCTAAAGTTTAAAAAATTTAAGTATATTACTAAGGATCCTACATCATTCAATCTCAGTACAAGTTTTTAGTAGGCATAATATAGAAGATATTCATTACAGGTATAGGTGCAAGACAAATTGTAGATTTTTTTTTACATTTTGCGTTGTATCAAACATTCGACATTTTCTGTTATAAATAAAATGAAAATTCGTTAACAAAAGCAGATGATCCTTTTTTACATTATACCAAGTGTTATAGACAATATTTTCACTATGTATACGTTTTCAGAACAGTGCAAAACTATAACAATTATGGCAACCATAGATGCACTCGCAATTATTCACAGACAAACGAAAATAGCCAATTTATACGAGATAATAGTCGAAAGTGCGGTAAGAAGTTTAAGACTGCTCGAAAGCGCAGTTCTGGAAGGTTTTGAACGTTTTGAGGATAAAATTTCACAACCAGAAATATTCCACTTTTATCCAGAAGACTGTGGACATTTTGTTACGCAAATATATCTTCAAGGAGATGACGAAGAAAGTCTGTGTAAGTAAAACCGAGCTAGTTTTTTTTTAAGTTGGAAAATTTTGGGCTTAAACTTTATGTTCCATATGAATATTCATTTTTACAATTTTGTTTACAACTAAAAAGTAAAGTCCCATACATATTAGATACGTTTGTTAGATTTCCTTGTAAGAAGTTAAATTCCAAATATGTGTTTGCATTTTAGTACAACAAAGAAAAAAGCTTCATCAAGAGCTTTCATTGAGTCAAGAAAAACCTATTTTCAGAAGAGCCAATCGCTTTACATTCAAAAATAAGCTTCAAGTAGGCGAGCCCCTTATTAATCCTCATTTAGGGCTTAAACCTAGCGACAATGGTAACAAGTTCTTCTCTCATATAAAATAAAAATAAATCGTTATATATTTTGTAGGTGGAAAGATTTCTCTCGTTAAAGGAAAATACACTTACTATCATTATTGCCAAAACAGAATGGACGACAACGGTTGGGGTTGTGCTTACCGATCTCTGCAGACCCTCGCGTCTTGGTTCAAGAATCAAGGATACACTCACAAGGATGTGCCTACTTTTAAGGATATACAGAAATGCTTGGTGGATATTGGAGACAAACCTTCAAATTTCATTGGTTCAAAACAATGGATTGGTTCAACTGAAGTTAATTATGTTCTAAACACACTTTTAGGAATAACGTCAAAGATTTTATATGTTAGTTCTGGAGAAGAAATGGCAAGTAAAGGTCCTGAGTTAGTGAGCCATTTTGAAAACCATGGCTCTCCGGTTATGATAGGTTAGTTACAAGTATTCTTTTTATATAAAATTTGTCGTCATTTGGTTTTAGGTGGAGGAGTATTAGCACATACTATTTTAGGGGTAGACTATAATTCACAGAGCGGCAACTTGAGATTTTTGATACTCGACCCGCATTACACGGGTAGTGAAGATTTACATACTATACAAACTAAGGGATGGTGTGGATGGAAAAACGTTGATTTTTGGGATAAAACAGCATATTATAATATGTGCTTACCTCAGGTCCCTAGAGGCATTTAATGGTTATTTTTTACCCTTGTTACGCTTTTAAGGTATTTGGATTTATTACTAATAAAAATATTTATAATACTGTTATTGTTACACTTTAAGAATATTTTTTATATTTATTCCATACATATCTACACACACTAGACGTGGTGTGAATGTTCATTTTTGGAATAAAATAATCGATTACGTGTGTTTATCCAAATCCCTAAGACATTCCTAGGTTAGCATAAACGATGCTGATAAAATTATGAGTCTGAGATCTAATCATACTTTTGTAATATAGGAAACTTGGTTCATGATACCATACTTGAACCATTTTGACATGGTCCACTAATTACGGAGTTGGAACATAAATACCGACATGAACTTGCACAGTTGTTATTAACACTGGAGCGAAACAGAATTTAAAATTTGTGTAACATATTCTTACAGAAATACTTCATTTGTGCGACTTAAACCATGTGACAAAGAAAAACACCTGATGTACCGAAAATGTGAAACATTAAACAAAAAAGTGACTTTTATTATTGGTACCACAAAATTACAAACGTCTTTTTTACACCTCGCAATAATGAATAAAAGTCGAATGAACTTATTGCACAGCCTATGAACTAAATACTTGGATATTTACATTAAGGCACAGTCAACTTGTGGAACAATCAAAATAAATAGTGTGCTTTCAACAACGTCAAATACATTCAACCTCTCAGTAGATTATAAGCTGCACCAAGGGCCCAACTAATCTCGTGTCCGTCGATTTTCTTATATAACTGAAAAAGAAAAAAGTCATAACACGAAAAACCCCTAAGTTAGTATAAAACTCACAAATATTTTTGCGTCTTCCCTTAATCCAAATCCTTTTTCTAATAAAACCGAAATGAAGGTTAAGTCAAGGCACATAAAAGGTTGGTCTGCGTTAGGTTCGGCACATGCTACAATAATGCAAATTAGACAAAAGTAGACAAGTTATAACTACACACATTTCTTGGCGGCTGTTTTGAAGGCGTTAACGTCGATGTAGCCGCCAGTGCTCTCTTCAATCAATCCTACTTCAGTTGCCCTATCGAAATAATAACTAAAGGCAAAAATAATTTTCGTCGGCAATTCATCTGGCGGCGTCGCTTTTTCGACCACGTAATCCGTAATAATTTTAGAACATGTGTCAAAGTCAACTACGGGAGTTTCCTGTCCGACTCTATACGTAGTTTCTTTACTTTTACTAACAGGATAATTTTCTCTAGGTCCACTAACATAATAATCCGTTCCTCCAAAATGGAATTTTCGTCCTTTTATGATATGATTTATACAATCTGACGTCACATTCACCTCGTTTTCCTGGTTCAACGTTATCACTTCTTTTCGTGCTGCCATCAATCCTAAACCTAAATAACTGTGAGTATACACTGGAATATATCCACTGGGTGCAACAGCTTGATGGATGTACTGTTTCTGTGAAAGACTAGCTGGTGTCAAAGCTGAAAAAGTCACTTGGGTTGATCCGCCGCCCAAATCCAATGCGGCGACAGTTTTAGAAGGATTCCCATAAAGGCGCTCTGAAAAATGAACTAATAAATTTTTTATTTTCTCATTCAATAATAAACATTGAAATTTATTTGAAACTGAAACAAAAATTGGCCTACTTTCAAACGTTCATAAAAGTCGTAGTTTTATGGCGTATTTGTTATCACACGAACGACATTTATGAAGACAAATAAGCAAACCGACCCAATGGCTAAAAAAAGTTTAATCGTTTGGTAATCGTAAATTGTCGCAATTTACGCCGTACCTTTATTTGACATATAGATAACGTCGGATTAAAATTTAACTGTGACTGCAATTTACACCTGCCTGAATCATTAGCTACTAATAGTAAATTCCAAAATAATTGCAATGTCGCAAAATGTAAATTTTTCGTCTAGAACAGTTTTCACTCATTATTATTATCCCGAGTGTATCTGAAAACTAGTATTTCATCTAACCCGCCAATTTGATAGTGTCATTTTTTTTCATTTCTATTTTCAACTTCAAGTTGATATCTCACACTTGAGAGTTGATGGAAAATATTATATCAGTTTTACGACGTATTGCACTTAGTGAGTTTAAAAAAATCTGTACTAACCATGTGCAAACCCTTAGCAAATAATCATATCACTAAGTTTGCAATATCACTGTCACCATCACCATTAAAAGATAGGTACTTTTTTTAGTTTTACACTTCAAACATAAGTTTTATCATACCGATAAATAGACGATAAAGTTAAATTTAGCGCAAGACAGAAATAAATTCATAATTATAGTATAACGCGAACAAACAAAACAAAGCGTGAAGGTCTACTAATTTATGTTGACGTCTTATGCATATTTTAGTAAAGAAAATGTAAATCAATAAACATACCCAACAGGAAATTCACAGTAAACCAGGAGAAAATGCCCTCATCAGTTCCATCCATAATTTCAACGCTCTCCTCATTAGTCAAAAACGGAGTTTCTTTGAAAAACTCCCGCACAGAATTTAACAAATTTTCCGCCTTTTCTTGAGGCAACAGTCTTAAACCAGCTGTAGCTTTCAAAATCAAAGGCGTTTTGTTCCAATATTCTTTTGGAATTTCTTTTTTGGCTTTCTCTAACAAATTAGCTATAGTTGCAACTCCCTAAAGTACGAAAAATATTTAAAAATTCGCCGATTATATATGTATTACTTTTTTGGGGTTGTCCGCGAACGAAGAAAGACCTGGCTTCGTATACTCAAATAACTCCTTATCTAACACTAAATGGCCCCCTGAAATAACAGCACCATTGGCGACGTCTGCGTTAACACATTCATGCATTATCTTTACCTAAATATGACTCATGGAAAGTAAAAGCTAGCACTCGTGATCCTGTGCTGCCGGCATCTATAACAACTGCATGGACTGGTTTGTGATAACCAAGTTTTTTGGCAATGTTGTCTACAGCCTTATGGCCCAGATGCCACGGAATGTTGTCAATGTAAAGTACTAGAGATCCATAAATTTAAAGCGCACTTACTACAGATACAATACTTACAAATAAACAGTGTCAAAATAGTCCCGCTGATAAGCAAACAGAAGAATGACCGATGAAGAGTTGATGGTTTGATTTCTTTACGTTTCTTATTCGGTGCCGGCCGCCCATTTTGATCTTTATGCTGAACGAAAACAAAGGAAATCGATTATTACATTAAAATTAATGTGAGGTTAGGTTCACAAAAGCTAATAAAACCTACTTTTGGGTCAGTCATGTGTGTTTTTTCTCGTATTTAAATGCATCGGGGGCCAAATTGTGCTTGAATTATAAATTTCCATTAAAGCATGAACATGACATTCACTGTTTGAATTTATTTTTGCCACACAACACTCCCCAATCCAGTTATTAATAGCCCAGTTTTAAGGTGCTCTTACCTTTCGTCTACGTAATTCGTTGTTGGTCATGATTTTACGATCTTTTTATGAGGGCAAATAATAAATTTTTAGGCCGGCGAAAACTTTACTAAAATGCCTTATTGATCACCATGAAATTGTACGAACGTTCGGATGGCCGTGTATGCGCACTCTGACTTAGCGAAAATGACTAAATAAATAGTAAAAATAAGTGGGTTCAATAATGATAATAGTTTAAATCATAAATTTGCCTTATCACTACTGGCCTTCAAACCATTATTCCAACTTGTCTTGATTACCAGTTATCAAAGTGTATAGTTACACAACATCGCGATTTTTAGATTAAAATTTACGAAGTCATGCTCGTCTTTAACTTCATATTAAATGACATAGAAGTAAAACGAGCCGGATCATATTTTTAAAAGACGCGCCGACATCTGTCAAATGATACGTCACTATCAATATCACTATCAAACGATGACCACGCAACATTATCAAAACAAAACACTATGGTCGTAACCGTCGTAACTTTATTACTTAAAAATAAAAATACAAAAAAATGAATGAATTACAACTACATGTCCTCAGTATCTGAATCGGAATCTGCTTCCATTGCTTGTTTGGCAGCTTTTTCAGCTTCTGCAAAGACACTTTCAGGCACTTTCTCGTGAACTCCACGACTTTCTTCACAAATCCAGGACAACTCCAACTCAAAATTTTTATCTTTTAATTCATCATGGACCAAGTAAATTCTAAAACAGCGATAAGAAGTCATAGTAAAATCAGTTTACAATCTTACATTTTTGCAGCTTCTTTAACTAATTCTCTACACGTCATTGTACGCAATTTCAATTTCTCTATTTCAGTCTTTGCAGACTGTTTAGCTTTACCTATTGCGCAACCATGGTAGCCCTGTAAACATCATTAACAAAATTCGCTTTCTCACTCAGCTGGAACTTACATAGCTGACACCTGAAGGATCTATGGTATACATCAAAGGCCCATTTTCTTCAAAACTTGCTAAGATAACACTACACCCGTATGGACGCACCGCGCTGTATAATGTATAAGCATGCATGTACATGCTAACGCGATCATTTAAATAATTCAATGGAATACTAACTCCATACTGTGATCGGTAATTGGCAGCTTCGCGTCTCGCTATATCAACAATTTGTCTAGCATCTGCAATGAGCCCGGAGAACGCCTAATAACATAAAATTAGTACAAGACCCAAAAAGTGGAAATATTTTACCATTCCGACATGTTTATCGATGTTAAAAATTCTCTTGTTGGTACCAGGCTCGTGGAGCTTTGACATAACCAACTTTTCAGCTGCCAAAACTACACCATCTTTACCCCGCAGCCCTATTACCGTACCGCTGTTTTCTACAGCTTTCATCGCATATTCAACTTGGAAAACGCGACCATCAGGAGAAAACTGAGAGGCCGAAAGATCGTACTAAAAATTTAAGGTTATCGTGGTAAAACACCAATCATTGATTTATAATATATACTCACGCCTGTTCCAATCGAACTCATATTTACTGTTAACTGAGGTCTTGTTTATACAAAATTACCGAAATTTGTAAAGTTCACCGGCGTGATTTGCAGTTTACACTTTCGATCAACAAATATTTGACAGATACGACAAAGAATGAAATGTCAAACTTACTAAATCAGCGCCACCTAGCAAATTTTCGCGGAAATCTGTCGCGTCACCTACCATACAACCGCTGCCGTAAACAACACCATGGTTGATTTGTTCAATTATTTATATTACATAAATAAAGATACACTTAACAAAATTTGTTTTGTACTTTCATAAGGGAAATAATTAATTCCCATTATTCTCTGTTATTTTTCCCTAAGGCCATTGGAAGATATGGAAACTTCTTATATCTAAATACAAATCAAAATCAGAAACAAAAATGACGGCACTTTTTGAGATTACATAAGACAGAACAATTCCAAAAATAATAAAAATATAAAATAAATATTAAAGCTGTACAATATCACGATCTCTCTTTTTGGAACTGCAGTTTCCAAGACGTGAATAAACCAACTTCTACATCAGTGCTGAAGCTGATTTACCTCGGCCTATTCATAAAAATAATACAAAAATATTTTTAAAAAACATTCACAAGTCTTAAAGCTACCTTCGTTAATAATGAAATGATGTGAAAATTTGCATACTTACCATTCAAACCAATATGTTTGAATGATAAAGTATTGAAATCACAGTCTCGCAATTTCTAATTTCATCTAATATTGACATGAGTTAAATCACAGCCTTTTTAAAATACATTGAACTAAAAAAGAACAAAATAAAAGTAAAGCAGAAGTGTACAACAATAAGAGATGTTACAAGAGGTCAAATAAAATAAAACAGTGAAGGATTGCTTACAGTTCGTACAAATTACATTATGGATAAAGCAGGTCAAATATTGGTTAATCAATAAAAAAAAGAAGAAAAATAAAAATCCATTCTCAGTCTAAACCATATTTTTTATCTAAAACATACAATCTTCTTCTGTTAAGCTTCTTTCTTCGTTCCTCTTCAGCACAAGCTACTTATTACAAACATAATAAACATTTTGGTTACAATAATGAAAGTTAAGATGATTTACTATTTTAACTTATCGCTACAGTAATATAGTATTTTAAATACATGCATGACATGTACGTGCTACAACACGTTAACAACAAGTGGCGCTTAAAAAATTAATGTCGGGACCGGTGAGACTCATCCCTGCGATCTCTTTCCCTTTCACGCTCACTTTCACGACGTCCTGATTCTCGTTCACGATATCTGTCATCATAATAGCGCGACTTTGAAGTAGGTTCACCAGAAGGATCCACGGCGTCAGGTGGCGACTTGTTCCTAGACCTGGACACACGTGACCTGTGTCAAACAAAAGAGAACTTGTCCGTGACTACACAAAATGTCGACAGTTGTTAACTTAATGCGCACAACTTCCACACCTCACCAACAGATCCAGTAGACTATAATGGAGCACAAGGGATCAATACTACTATTCAGATTTGTATGGTTTTTAAATTAAGAAATTGTTTAAACTGTAAAACCGTCAAACACAACAACCGCGACTGGATATTGCACCAGTGCTCAAGAATTGCACCGTTTAAGTATTAATCGGTCTTGAAATAAATACTGTTGACAGTTCTACGACAAAAACGGTTTGTGCTCGAAAACCTCACACGTGCTTCTGATTTGTTATTAAACTGCTATTAGTAATATTAGCCCTTGCTTTCTTCCATAGAATATGACGATATAAACAACATATGCCTACATAATTTTTAATCACAAATTTATATATTTAGATAACGTTCACTGTTGAGTAGTAAACATGCCACAGCACAAATTATTTTAAACGCACAAAATTCTCATTTTACTTTTGTTCAAGGTTAATACAATGTCAAACTTACAAAGTTAGATTATAATAAACGCTGCAAGTTATAGTATTTCTGGAGTTAATATGTTATTTAATATAACACATTTCTCTAACACTATCCTGTCAAGCCTGAGTTTTTTCTACATTTTCATTTTAGATTCAAATACATAAAGGTACAAATTCCATCCTGTACAGATAAATTTTAGTACATTTTAAATAAAATTTAAGAAGTAATAGTTTCAATCAATCCCTCCTATTTCTTTTACAATACTCAATCAAAATTATTTGGGCTATTTTCATGTAATTAACATGTTGATCAAGGATTCCTGACTATTAGTAACAATAAGCAAAGCAACGGTAAAGCGAAAAAATCTATACGTTGATGCAACGTATTTTTGGCATTTCTACTTTTATAAACACTAGATGAAGCGTGCATTTTCACCACTCATACTTATTGTCATGCGACACCATTAATTTTTAGAATCTACTTCTTAAGAAATTTAAAACAATGAAAGTTGAATAACAATTAAAAATACTCGAAATTATTTGCTAACAGTGCGCCAGACTTTGTGGTATTTAAAATGCTCTTCCGTATTTTAGTGGACAGTTTCATATTTATTTTTTGTTGTTTTTTTTTTGTCAACAAAAAGAGAGGAATGTTGAAAATAGTTTTATTTTTACTGATTAATAACCCAGTAAAAAAGTTTTTTGTAAGCTATTTTAATCAGTGTTAAATATTAAATAATTTGCAGATTTTATAACACCCCTGGTTTGCTACAATTATACACAAACAAAAAAAATTGTTAATATATATATATATTTTGAAAGATTATTTTTCATTATATAATTTAATGGAACAAAACGTATGTTACATATATGTATAAAGCATAACACTGGACAAGTCTATGTAATTTGCAAAACTTCATTGAGTTGCCTCTACAGTGTAAATTACAAACGGCCAAATGGATTGTCCACCTTAGAAGTCAGCTATCTTATTAATTAACGTCTAAATTTACAAATATGTAAATAAAAGTAGAAATGATCTCACTCTTTAATATAATTTCATTTCTTGCTTGAATAACTAGATATATTTTTTCAATTCAACCTACCTTACATCGTTTGCGCTTTATGTATGTTCACAATAGGGAAAAATAAATGCGCCACCGCATATACAAAAAAAAAACTGTTTCTTCTTTTGTTTGTTTACTCCACGTTTTTCAATCGTTCAAAGAGGGAGGAAAAAACTTTACTTCATATATATTTTTTCGACGACTTCGTACTAACCAAAAAAATTTAAATACACAAAATTACTTTATTTGCTTCTTGTGATTTTTAAGATTTTAATAGGAAAGTGGTAAATTGCATGTGTTTTAAATAAAATGGAGTAGTTTCAGCCTGACAAATTGGTAGGGGAATAATTCTTTTTGACTATGATCATGCAAAAAATCGCTATATTGTACAAATAGTCTTACAGCTAAATCAGAAACATCTTCATTCATAGGAAATTTTGTTTATAATTATTAAAAAAAAAAAACGTCAAAAATTATATTCACACCAATTTTTTTTTATATAAAATTTAAACTAGGACGGACTTTGAATAAAACTACCTTCTGGGAAAGAGAAAATTCACAATACACTGCAAGCTAACTTTACTCCAAACAAGGGAACGTTATGAAAATATACAATCAACGTATGTTTTGTACTTAAACAATTTGTAAACAATAAACAATCTACGCCAAATTACAAAAGAACAAAAGTAAATATATAATCAACAAAAAATATAAGCTATCAACAAAAGATTTACATATGTACATTTGCTTAATCAACAGGACGCGTCTCTTGGCTATTTTCGCTAATTTCGAGAGTACGTATATTCATGCAATATTCAAAATGTGGCATAAAAATATATTGCTAGAAAACCGCAAATCAAAACAAACAGCACTACATTCAAAAGACTAATAATAAAGCGCCTAAGGCTGAATTGATTCTCAATATGTTACTTATTTGGTATATATTCTCAAATTTCATTGTACTATGTACACTGAAACATTTTTTTTAAATAATATTTACATAAATAACTAATAAATAACGTTTAACAGTAACATACAGAACTTTGAACTTTAATAAATACAGAAAACCGACTTCATTTTCACAGCCATACTCGTGCATTAAAAACACAACATACGTTAAGATTCACAACAAAAACTACTGCGTCCCGTTGATCAATAATTTTTTACTAATTTTAGAATACTCACGCGTCATCAGCTTCTCTGTCTCTATATTCTCGTTCACGTTCTCTATCTCCTCTACTTCTAGATCTATCTCGATCTCGTTCCCTTTCTCTGTAACTGTCAGCATAATACCGATCACGATCACGGTCTCTGTCCCTATCACGATCTCTTTCCCGACTTCTTTCGCGATACCTGGACGACGAGCGCTCCCGACGTCCTCTTCTGTGTGCCCTTTCTCTAGATCTAGATCTATCTCTCCGTCCAGAACTGTAACTCTTGTCTTCCACCCCACGCAGGGTGTCCTGCAACGAACTGATTAAAATCTTACAACGATCGTCATTCGCCACTTTTGATTGTTTAATCAGAGAGATGGCAGTAACAAGAGTCTCTATAGCGCTAGCATATTCGCCAGCGGCAGCATCCGAAACAGCCCGAGCGATCGCCGATGACGACACGGTGCGATTTCTGGACATAATATCTTCGAATTCTTGCTCACTCAAGGGCGGCATGTCATTGCGATGATCGGGGGGCGGCCCGCCGTATGGGGGCTGGGGCATGCTGGTAGGAGGACCGTAACCGTGAGGGGGGCCATGGGGGGGCACGTTGTTGGGGCCCATAGGTGGGCCATGAGGCGGTCCATGAGGAGGCCCCTGGGGCGGACCCTGTGGGGGCATAGGTCCAGGTTGCATGGGGTGTTGCATTTGTGGTGGCGGTCCCCCTTGTTGGAAAAACGCAGGGTTGACGTGTGGGGCGGGCGGGCCTTGGGGGGGACCTTGCGGAGGCGGACCTCCCATTGGGGGAGGGCCCCGTGGGCCCATGTTGGGACCTTGCATGTGCGGGGGTCCTTGGGGAAAGCCTTGTTGCATTGGTGGTCTGTTCCAGTCGGGCCGCATGGGACCAGGAGGTGGACCCTGATTGGGCATGCCTCGTGGAGGCATCTGTCCTTGGGGCGGTCCCTGGAACTGGGTTATTCAGCGTTTGTTAAAAGGACCACACCAATAATGGACAACGCTATTTTACCATTGGTGGCCTGGGAGGGCCTTGAGGAGGTGGGCCAGGCCGCATTGGACCCATATTGGGACCAGGGCCGTTCGGCCTGGGGCCATTCCACTGTGGTTGTCCTTGAAACCTAGGCGGCTGACCTTGATTCATTTGAGGGGGGCCATTGTAACCCACTGGGCCTTGCATTCTAGGTACACCAGGGCCTTGCATACCTGGAGGCATAGGACCTCGCATTTGATTGTTCATTGGCATTCTGCCGCCATAATTTTGGTGGGGACCTGAGGGAATGGAATTGTTAGCATGGCTAGGATGTTGGTTACGATTATTGGAATTATTTGTGGGGGATGGGCGGGTTTTGGACTGACTTTCAAAATTACTGAGGGCTTGTTTGGTGGGAAGAGTGACGACGGGATTTTGGCCGTTGATTTCTTTCTTCGGAAGATGATCCATGCAAAGCCTCATGCTGGGTTCAGAACCCAGAGAAATGACGCAAAAGCCTTTTGATTGGCCATTTGCGCGGTGCTCAAAAAACTTAACCTCGTGGAAATCATTTACACCAATGTCGTGCACGGCGTTTGCAATGTCCTGATCAGTGGTCCACTAAAACCTTGTATTTAAGAAAGCAAATTCTAAAATATAACCCATACATACCCAGGTCAGATTTCCTACATAAAGCTGGTGCCGACGACCTACATTGGGTGTGATGTTGTTCCCCTGAGTGGAGTAAGTATTCCCGTTTGTCTCTTCCGTGTTAGCTGTAGTCGCGGGTTGATGGTTAGCTTCCGTGGTCTCGGTGCTGTTAGCGGCTGCCGGAGCGGCAATTACATCGTCGTAGAGATCCACGTTTTCACTCCCAAAGTCGTCCTGTAGAACAAATTATTAATTTACACCTGATTTCTGCGACAATTATACAACACAAGTACCGGTAACAACAATCACTCCCCACCACACACTGTGCTACTGTACAGAGATTGACCAATGACACCGTATTCAATCAAACCTCAAATAAGATTGATGCACAAAACACTAACACACTCTTCGAAATCGCATTTTTGTTAAAAATAAACGTACCTGGGCAAAATCTTGATCAATATCGTCTGCGTACAAATCGATGTCGTTATCCGCCATCTTTGAGACGCGGAAGTTGGGAAACAATATGGCGCATGGCTCGTTGAAGACGCTTACCGAAGCGACCTCTGCTGGCCACAGCACGGCGCTAGTTTTAAAATTTATTTATTTACTAACCAGACTCCAGAAGCGGAATTTACTTCCATGCACTCAAAGTATACAGTTGTGTAGAACGACAAACTTCATGCTTGTATGCATATCTACACCAGCGAACATGAAAATGCTCTACTAATTTATCTGGTTTTTTAATTTTTTTACTTCCAATTTAAAGATTATTACTTGACGATTCGCAGCCAAGAGAATGATGCAGGTTCCCCGTTTTCGTTTGCTCATCTGTCGTCTGTTGACGATTCCATTAGACAATCTACAATTTTATGTTGTTACTTTATTTATGATTTATTAAAGCATACACTTTGTAATTTAACTTATAAAATTTAAAAGTTACACATCAGATTTATATGAAATTTTTGTAAAACATCAACGCTGACTTATCTGAAAGTCCAAAACTATACGAATACTAATCAACATGTACAAATTATGCATTAATGTTCACAAAATGTACTGTCCCAAACAAAGTATGAATCTACAGATGATTTCAAAAGTAGCGTCTGACGTGTCTAATATAATAAATCATTCAGAGGGAAGTAGAGAGAAAAGTTAATTTCTAATCCAAAAAAAAACTTTATTTTTTTTTTAATTATGAATGAACTGTTGTTAATCTATTCATCTTATAGTCCATAAAGGTATTTATAAAAAAAAAAAATGAGATAACCAAAACTGTTGCGACATAGCTTTGAGTACGTTATTGTAAGTATTTATTAAAATAAAGTGTATAATTTGACATTAATTCATGATAAAAAAAATAGAAAAAATATAGTTTTCCAGTTTTGATTTGTATCTTTGAGATCTAATTCAATAAAATTATGCAACTTACAATACAAGAATCGCAAACGGATTTAGATTTACATCTGAATGAAACTTTCCCTTACCTACCGTACAGCTTCTTTGAGAAGTCGAAGCTCTGTCCACCAGATCTAAATCCGAAATAATATGATACATTGAAAGTCTAATTTGCTATGTATAGGTATACATTCTTTTTTGACGCATTTCATTTCGCGAAGCTCTCTATTGGTATAAAAGCGAATTTCATCGTTCTTTCAACACATGGATAGCATTTGATCGTGTACTTGACTGACTTTGTTTTAAATCTTAGATTCTACCGTTTTTCAAAATAGAATTCAATTCATATTTTACAGAAAGTAAAGTAAGTCGATGAAATGTAGAAAAAGTCAGTGAAATGTAGAAAGGAGATGGGAGGGGGTAGTTTTTTCTACAGATTCTTATAAGCAAACAGTAGCCCTGCTCACCTACTCCTTCTTCATTCTAGTGACTACTCTTGATATTGTTCAGTCTTCTCTTAGCAAATGCTAGCCCCCTTTTCCTTTCATAGAGGGTATATCATTGGCCAAAAGCAATCTTATCTTAGCAAATATAATAAGATTTAATAGCATATTTTGTTATAAAATCAGGAACAATTATGTACTGGAATTCTGTGACTGTGTAAAATGTGTTCATATTTTCGAACTGCCTTTGTAATTTTTGTTACTTTATTCGTGATTAAGAAACATTTATTTTGGACTTCGACTAACAACGAGATTATCGAATCGGCTATAAATTGATAATTTTGGTTTCTTTATATTACTTTTTAATAGGATGGCAAAATTTCATTCACGACTGCGTCTTTCAAAGTGTTAACTTTGTTATAAGTTTGAAAAGGCGCCATTCGATTTTTTTTTTTTAATTTTCAGATCAAAGTTTTTGTTATTTAAATTTAAAAAATGCCACGTTCTCGAAACATGATATCTACATCTGTGAAAATTTTTGTTTAAGTTTGCATTAGGTAAATTAAATGAGTAGGTAAAGTAAAGCAGAAAAAGGTTGGCGTTCAGTTTTAGCACTGAAATAATGGCACGATTACGTTATTACACCTGGTGAAATTTTTTAGATAAAAGTCTTGTCTAAAAAGAAGATTAAGAATAGTATGAAAATTATTAAATAAATATGGGAACATGTCTCCTTTGCATTTAAGAGAGTTTCCTGTTTTTCTAGAAAGTTAAATTATAAGACTAATATTAATTCCCAAGTTATCACCGCGCTACGTCCCATGTTATAACTAATAATACCCAATGCTAAATTATCCACTTATGGTAATTTACAAAGCCTCATATAGAAGTTTATTCTTAAAAATATTTGTAACTAACCATGTAGATGTGTATGTGTACATATTTACCTGAAATTAAGCTTTCCGCTTACTTGCTTTAGGGTTAGTAAATACACAGCTAAATTAATTTTAATGTATCTCAAAAGCTAGAGCTGGCAAAGATTTTAAAAATGATTTGTTCAAATCCTTAAATCTAATTACAAGGTTTTAAACCATATAAGAAGTTTTCCACAATTTTTCAAATGCTTATTTGCTGCTACAAAAAGGCATCTAATTTCATGAAAGATCGAGAAAATAACATAAAAATGTCTATAGTATAAAGAATTTACAGCATCGCAATAGAGAGAAAATAAAAAGACACCACCTTGCATATTATATTAGTATACATGTTACATAGTGTACGTTTTTTTAACTGGTTTAAAATGTTTAACCATTTTATTTGAGTTAACCTAAATAATCAAAATGTATATATGCACTGGAAAAGTATAATAGTCGTCAAAAATATCGTAGGAGTAATTTAACTAAATTACAAAATTTTTGCTTTGCCAAAATTTCGAAAAACCGTTTTGATTTTTGCCCATTTTAATTTGTTTCCATAATTTATAGAAACACTACAAGCACTTTTAAGTTAATACGGCACAGTTTTCATTGGTAATAACACATTTATTAATAATGATTCAAAATTCTTTCAGCAAAATAAAACACTGAACTAGCAAGAAAAGTAATGAATTACAAATATCGAAATATCTAGGTATAAAAATTTTAAACAGATTTGATGATTCAAAACGACTACAAAGACATATCAGACCACAACTAAACTTTGCGGCTGAAAAAGATGATTAAGTTTACAAAAAAAACCTCAACGAATCCAAGATTCATGAATTCGCAGGAAATGACGCGTTTATTACGTTTGGACAGATATATATGTTTATATTAAGGACAAATGTTTTTTGATCAGGCAACAATACATAAAACATTCATTCAAAGCGTTGTTTTGAATATGGCCTAATTTAGCCTAGTACAAAACGCTTATTTGCAAGAAAAATAACTCCAACCCAAATGAACATGTAGATTTTATTATAATTTTGATTTTATATGTATTACGTTTTTTACATGGATCGAAACCGGCATAATGTCAAAAAATTTAAAAACCGAGCCTGAAAACCAATATTTTAACTAGTTCGCTAATGATATATTGGGTGAAAAAAAGACTGTGTTAAAATCACTTTATTCTATTTGTATAATTTAAACAAAATTATATTGAACAAGTATTATAAAAACAAAATTACAATTTAATAAATCTAGTACAATGATATTTACATTCATTAAAATATAGACAAATTGTGATTAAAGTCTTAACGCCATGAGTTCTGAGTAAATATATTCAATCCGAGACTAGTTTATCTGTTTACAATAATCATCTCTTTCCATACACCATCTCACTATAAACGGTACTTTTTAAGTTTATATAAACATACATTATGGTAAATTTTCTACAATGACATTGATAGAAATTAATGTAAAACATGAGTATCGTTGTTTAAATATACACCTAATGGGTGACACAAAGGCTGGTGGTGTCATCAACAAAATAAAAACGGAACGAAGCTAATGGTGTATCAAAGCAACAACTCAAGTGATGCTGGTCCAGGGCCAATTTGTACTTATGTAACATACATAACATTATATAAACATCTACATACTTTCTAAATTTGGACCACCCTGTTTATCTATTTTTTTTTTAATTACTGATGAGGAGAAAATATCAACATGAAAATAAATAATGAGTAATGGAACACATGGAGGGATGAACTGGGCTCAAGGACTTAGATCTACAAAAATTTGTTCAAATGTACATCTTTCAATAATATAGTTACAATAGGTAACTGCAAATCTACTTAAGTAATACTTTGATTCAAATATATATAAACACATATTTTTTTCTATTCTATAAATTTCTTAATAATATACATGAACCATCATCAACTCAATTATTATATAAAAATAAAACTATCCATTTAAAACATACTGTTTTTATCATAAAATATCCAATGAAATGAAATTAAAAAAGTTCCGAATTAATACTGAAATTAAAATGTTTTATTTTACAAAAGACACCAACAGTAACTAGTGCGTTCTTTTTGACAGGGTAGGATGAAATCAACGTGTAAGGATACAGATACGGTTGTACATTTTCGACATATATTTATACAAAAAGTACATTAAAAATGACCTACTTGAAATGTTTATACAAAAGAACGGGCGCTCATGTTAAAAATTTGATAATTTACAGCATCAGCTAATGTCTAAAGATGAGATGATAAAAATAATCTTTCCTCATTAAAGTATAAAACAATATAACTATATAAATACGCTAAAAATTATAACAATGAATAATGGATGAGACGATTTTCATCGATAAAACAAACACACAGTCTAGTCTGGCACATGAGTATCGAATTTAACACTGATATCACAACATTGCTTATGCAGTTATGCACGTAGTTCCTTGCACTTTTTATTGTATCGATCATGGATATGACAGGTAAAGTACATCCGAGATTTCTTTTACTATTTTTGTATCACAAAAATACAACATTTACAAAATACAGCAAGAAGCCGAACAACAACTGCTGTTGCCGCCTTTGCTCTTTTGTCGTTGATCTGCAACAAAACAAAAGTTGTAGTCAGATATTAATTAACGTGGCGTTAAATTACCCACCTTGAGAATTAGGCTCGGGCAAGTTTTCTCTGGGAACAAGATGCATTACTGTAGTCTTCCCGAATGGCAGTCCTAGAGCTCCTAATGTTACGTTACTATGAAGGAAACGACCCTGATATATAAGTCGGAGTATTTCAGCCTTTGAAACAGCTTCCTGACACCAATCTGCAAAAACAATCATTTTTAGCAATTTTCAAGCAAAAAATTTCAACCTTATATGATTTCTCACTTTTATCAATTTTATTTTGTATCCATTTACATATTCCGACAAGGAATTTATTTTGAACAACAAAACGAAAAACGAACGAGCAAACAAATATTCTGCGACTGCCGCCTCTTACATTATATTTCTTACATTTCAATCAAGAAAAGTATACTGTGCAAATTGAAATTTCCAACAGATGCTAGCCGAGTTGCTGGAAGTGCTAACCAGCTCGCAATGGAATTTCCATCATTTACGGACTAATTTCAGTTTTATTTCTATTAGAATCCATTCTTCCTAATTTGTATTCACTGGAAAATCTTGATTAGGTTTCTGACGAACGAAGTCGCTGCTAATTACATAAAAGTACGAAATAATCAAGAAGGAAAAAATTTACAATGCCTCGTAAAAACAGGACGGTTTGCTACATTGACTTTCTATTATCGTTTGTTAGGATCTACTTATTAATTTATTCGGTTCGTAGGATGTGATGACAAATCAATCAATCGGCGGAATTCGCTTGTGGAACTAGATTGGCAATACTCTCAATTTAGCATTTATTACCGACATCACGAAATACGTTACATTTCAGGTGAATTGAACTTCTCTTCAATACTAAACAATTTAAATGTATTCCATTGTTTTGTCTAATTGTTTACCTATTCATACTATGTATGCATAAACCATGAAGAAAAATTATAATTAAGATTTAAGAGATTTAACATCCAGCTATTACCTGGAATCAGTTTTATAATTTTAGATGCCGCCAGCAATATGATGCAATGTTTTGTTTTTAAAATACGCACAAACACAATCAAATTTTAAAATGAATAATTGTAAAATCAACACCTAAGTTGTATGATACAAATAGCTATTGTATTATCGCAATACTGTGTTATGTTATGTTTAAATGATCACAGTTAATGAGATCCATTTAACTTCCAAATGCGAGTTATAATCCGAACAAACACAAATAAAAGTTAGTATTGTTCTGAGAAAACATATTAGCATAAACATCAAAACTGTCAGCATTATAACATGACATGATTTAGCCTTTTAGTTTACCCGTGTGTTTTCTTTGTTCATTGCCGCCAAAAAATTGGGGTGCTAATTTTTAATACACTTATTGAAATAGCTCTATAAAGTCATAATAGTGTTTGATAAAGTGGGAGAATAGGGTAGAATACGTAGCGTACTCTGGAGACTTCCATTTTTCCTTCATTAGGATTTGGAAAATATGGACACCAATTTTATTTTTACTTCATCAAACGTCACGACATACGCTTGTTCTGTAACTATTAATTTGTTGCCGGAAAAACCAAAATATAAATGCAAAAAAGGTGACTGCTTATCTGAAAAGGTAATCGGTTAGTTCCCACCCACAGAAGTCGAAAACGCTTTCAAGAACAGATACACAAAATTGATTTGACCTAGCAACTGTTTCTAAATATAATAATAATGGTAAACTATAATGTTGGTAGGTTGCTTTGATCATAGATACTTCCGCATCAATTCGGTGACGTGGTTCGTTAAATCATCAATCGATAATATAGACGAAAATACAGATTCCATTTTTATAATTAGTGTTCCAAACAAACAACCAACAACAAAGCATAAAGCAAAAATAACAAGTCACGTTGCACAGTACTTGAATTTGCCAAATAGCGAATATAAAAATATATACGACGCACTTTTTTAAACGTTCTTCAGCTACACTGCCTGCGAAGTTAAAACAGACTGGAGATCAACAGAGAGTGATGTGAAAGACAATGCAAACGTCAATCTTTTTTTATCTTAAATATAGAATATAAGAATGAAGCCATTGGATAAATATATATTGCATCAAAAAATATTCTTTTTTCCTGAGAATTTTATGTAAATTTAACATCTAACTTTGTGATGTTAAAAGTTAGTGGTCTATTCTCGTTATAATTAATCTTCTGATCTAAGTTTGGTAATAGAACGTGGTAAAAGAACTTTAATTCGTTGGGTAATTTATTAGAAATTTGATTCCGTGGTAATTTAAAGACCATCAAATGATGTTTAAATTTCGTGTCCTTATTCTTCCATATATGTACTAAACAACTCTATGCACAAATATAAGACATAATTAAGATCTTCAAAGACTGCTTGAAACTATCGCGATGACCAATAATTCTGTTTCACATCTTAAGACTTTTTTTTTGTAACAATTCTAGCCCTAAACCAAAATACATGAGGCAGTACTTCGCTTAAAAAGTGTTTGTGTATCTGCCTATGGGAAACAGAAACCCAAAGTATAAATTATAGAAATCTGCAAGGTTTAGAATGTTATGTCCACATTAGGTTGAAGTTTATTACTCTGAAACTACTGTGAAACGTTTGTGTGCTTTGCATACAGTAGTCACCAAAAGTTGTCATCCGTAAACAAAATGACCTGAAGGTAAATCATTTATGTAATGCAAGAACAGCAAAAGTCCTAAAACGAATACGTACAGTACACCATATGTCAGTCGATTTGTTTGGTTTTTATATGTTGTACATATGTCCGTAATCTTAGGTCGGTCACATAAATATCTTGGCATTAGCTTAAACGCATTATCAGATATGGACAACGTTGATGTATCGATAGCACAATACTAGGAAAACAAATAAATTCTACCCACCAATTTTGTAATTTTTAAGCAGTCAATAGAATTCACCAATTCATTTATAGCCAGTCAATTTAAATAATTAAAAACTTAACATATCAAGATATGGAAGTCCATTTAAGGGCCGGTTTACAGTAGATGAATTAAATGATTAATTCGAATTAAAACTTCATGTGCGATTAACCGGTGAGTCTGAATATAGTTATCACTGGCTGAATCTGATCACTGAGTAACTGTGTGATTAAATTAAGTGTTTCTTTAAACCGAGTTTAAATATCGATCAATTAATATTACCTTAATAGTGTAACAATTTTATAATCGTTTAGTATAATTTGTTTAAAACTTCGTAGAGTTGTAAGGCCTCTAATGGTTGGTGAAAGTAATACCGATTTTTTTTTTTTAGATAAAGACATTCCGTAAATTACAATAATAATAAAGTTTAATGTGGATCAGAAAACCGTTTGATATTTAGCGTAAAATTTAATTGCAGGTCCTGCAACAATAGTGACGGAAAAGACAACGTTGTTAACGTAAACAGTAATTAAACCAATTACGTCACTGAAAGTGGTATTTATCTCTAATACGTTTAATTTTAGAAATTCCATTTCTGCAAGTTTAGAAACTTGAGGCTTTATCAAAGGCACACGACTCTTAAACGATGCCACACAATGGGGTTACAGTACAATGGCTCAAAAGACCTCCGTGTGCGATCTTATGAAAAAGGGCCTCCCATAAAAAAAGTTTAGAAAAGCATGACGTAAATAAGCTCATTTGTTACTAATTAAACGTATTATACACGGTTTCCGAATTTTTTAAAAGTATTTTAAAGCTGCTCAAAAGTGTGAATATTTGAATAACACCAATGTACCTCGTAAAAATCATCCATTATAAATTTACTCCGTAGATACCATAAAAAATTAAATTCAATTTATTCGGGCATATCTAACCCAATTTACATCTTATGAGCTTTTTACTTTTTGTCAAGATCCTTATTTTGTTATGTGGTTTACTTTTTACATTGGCATATTTTATTGCCCAGGCATCCCAATTAAAACTCCCCAGCCTTATATCTTGAGAACGGATAGAAATCTTGAAATTCTGCAAACGTCACTGTTTTTAGCTTGAAGGGGAAAGCTTGAATTAGTACATTGCAAATATGATGCCCATATGGCCTCGACGTCGCGATGTAATCCTATATTTTTTTTAAATTGTAACGTGTATTTTTTAACGGATTTTGATACACCATTAAATTTCGATTACAATTACATGTTTATTTCATCTCCAGTTGATAAAAAAATTAAACTTATATAACAAAAAAAATGGAAGCTGATTAATATAAAGCAATTACACTTTATTTTATAATCAAAAAGATATGTTTCAAAAGCAGTTACATAAGCGTATGTTCGAACTATCGCTTTCATTGATTTATGTTTATAAATTTTATTTTTGTATTGTCCGTTAAAAAAATACACGTCGCATTTGCAACTTACTTAAATTAAGCTTTCCGCTTCAAGCTAAAATCATTGGCGTTTACAGAATTTCAATATCTCTATCCGCTCTCAAGATGTAAGGCCACGGAATTTTAACTGAGACACCTGCATATCTATAATTCTATAATATACCTCCGCAGCATTACTCCTTTGCTAATCTAGTTGAATATTTTTTCTTACACGAAAAAGATTCTTTTGTAAAAAACGGCCCACACATTTCGGCTATTATATAACTGTATATTTAAAAAATATATGTTATGTTGGGGTTAAATAGTACTCAAAGATCATCTGCTGATACAAAAAATATTTCATTTACTCAAATTTACACTAATTAAACTAACAGAATTACACAGTTATTAAAGTTTTTATATCACAATGAATAAACAAAATAACTGAATTTGTAGCACTCTGTAGATTAAAAATGCGTAACTGCTGCTTCTTTTCTTTACTCATAACACAAAAACTGGCTAAAGCGTATTCAGGTTTGCCTATGTCTAAATACATAAATCCCATTCCATATAAATGCAGTCTGTAAAATGTCAACTGCATGACTTTATTTACCTAGAACTTTTTAAAATTATAAAGTAAAAACAAAGTAAGAATTTTTAGAATAGATTTTTGTTTCATCAAATCACTGCATTTCTATTTTCTTGTAATCAACTGGATTTCAAACAAGATCTTAGCCTTAAACTCGCCATTTATAGTCTGTAACAACTAAAATTGAAATATATCTTAAAAATAAATATCAAAGTCTCGTAAGAAAAATTTATTTAATTGATATACTTAAGTCATATTATATGTTTTAGATCTCTCTATACAGAAAAGTCATTGAACATTACTTGTAATACAGAGTGAGTTACTAAACGCGCGACATGTCATTAATTAATAGAGACTATGTTCTGTTTTTAAGGTGTAACACAGAACTTACTTTTTTTAATTGAAACAGCCTATATATTTTTACATATTTTAATATTTTCATTAGCCTCTTCCTAGACTTTATAACTACAGTTTTTTTTTTTAATTTCGATGCGACGTTGTCACTATTTTCTTGAAATTTTTTGGCAATGCCAGAGTTAACAAAAAAAAAGTGTTATTTTTAAAATATCTTACAATATTTTGTGAGAGTATTAATGAAAATACTACGTGCTTTGTTGTGGTATCAATTAAATCAAGTGTTTAAAATTATACAGTTTTCAAATAGAGATATTTCAGCTTTTCCAAATGGAACGTCCTGTATTTTGTTACTATATCTTACTTTATTTTTTGGTTTCATTCTTCTAATATGTCTGTGTCTATTCAAAAATAATTGATTAAATAGAATTTACAAAAAAAAAAACTGGTATTGTTTAAGTTTAATATTTGAATAATCTCAATAATCGAAAATAAATAAATCATCATAATCAATTAATTAATAAAAAAGTTCATTTTATTGTTAAGTTGTTTTTGGCTCGTCACCTTCTAATTTTTTAAAATGGCCCTTTCTTTCTGTTAAGTTGGCCATCCCTGATAACACGAAGAAAAAAATTGACGATATGCAACAACTGTGATCTCTGATTTTTACTTCCTACGCGTCCGGTTTTTTTCTCGTTTATCTTTTCTCGTATTCAGATACAAACGAGTTCATCGCTTTACCCAGAAGTTGGTCACTGATTATTTCTGCACATGCAACAAACACTGACACAATAGAGAAACTGTGCATAAAGACAAACTCTATTAATTCCATTAAATAAAAAGAATAACTGACAGACATGTTATTTTTTTTACATACGATAGATACGACACAAATGCGTCCCATTGTATGCTTCCAAGTGAACAACAATAAATAATCCGTTACCTTCTGGCCAGTTGTCGAAGACGTGTTGCGCAATATCACCAGCTGAATCGCTTGGACTGAACAGGAACTCTTTTGTCTTCCCGCTGACGAGGATCAGCCGCAGGTTTATCTGCAACAAAAGCCCGGAATGAACACCTGCTAACGTCCTTGCGTACTCCCTACACGTGACTGAAATTTTGTTTTGTATTATGTTGATGGAACAATTTGACAACAACGGTAAAGCTAGGGAGGCTATGTATGGGGAACATAGGGGATCTTCTAGAGATCGATTTGATGTTAAATATTTCGTATACGAAGGGAAACAACGGTGATTACGGAATAAAAGGACGCGATTAAATATTCGTCGAGAGTAAACTACCTTGCTATTATGAAATTTACTAAGGACGGGTGGGGCAAGGGGACGATTAGTGTAGCATCAGACGCTACCTCTTGCATTTTTAATTCGTGATTCAGCCACGTCGAAATGACATTGTAAGACCCACCCTCATCACTGTAAACAAAGTTCAGTGACACTTCTGACAGAGGCAGAATAACCACTCAAAATGCCACTTTCACAAGTGACTTTAATGTCATTACGTTTATAATTACGTAAAAAAAATTGAAAATACTAGTCGCTCAGATGATGTTATCACCTTTTACAAGTGAAAGGTCTTGTTGGATTAATTGGATAATTTTCACAATTAAGATGATTTTTATACGCCCACAAGTGTTAAATTCGTAGAATTTAATAATATGGTAGATTTAAATTGCAAATCTGAAACGCTATACGAAATCAGACCAAACACCTAGTGCTCGAGGCCGTTTGATTAGATGTAAGTTCCTGTAGGTTAAAGAGTTAAGCAACACCCTTTCGAACCAAACAGTAGATATACGTACAATTTTAACTTTTCATGGTACCTACACCCATGCCTACTCTGAAAGTGCACTTTGCTAGTACATATCTAGTTTCTAAATTACACATGCATATAGGCTTTGTAAAATAAAAATCCGTGAATTTAATTAGTATAGCTGGTAGTTTCCTGAAGTCAACTCTTAGATCATCTAAAGTAATATGACCTTATTTGTGCGCTTTTTGGTTTGCCCTTATCGTCCAACGCCCAATAGAGTTGACAAAAAAAACTCCTACACTTCGGAATCGCCAATTTAATTAAATTTTCAACAACCCTCTGACAAGTTAAATCCAATTCCCAAGGGTCAGATTCCTGTCCCGATACTCATATAAAAATTAAAAACCGACATCAAAAAGCTACGTTTTCTTCAAAGTTCTGTTCGCTTAGACCTTCGTTTACTCTTGCTACAGCAAACTCGAGTTCCGGAAGCCCATCAAACTTCTCCACCGCAACAAAAATGGTTATTAAACTTGGTTTGGATCTCCTTGCGGTGACAAACAATTTCGCCGACGCCTTTAATCGAAATCCGCACCAACGACTGACGTACCACTCGAGGATCTCAAAGTAATTTCCGTCGAGGGCCTTGAAAAATTCATGAGGAATTACCTTTAAAACAAATATCACTTGTGAACATCACTTCTGCGGCTACCTCACCTCAAGGGTTAGCTAAATTACCGGAATTTTATACCGACCATTTCAAATTTATTTACGACACTAAAGTGGAAATTCCAGCTTCAAATCATAAATCTTTAAATGGGGGGAAGTACGTTCGAATTATCATATTTTCTGCCGTGTCAATCAACTTTTTGCAGCATTACAATTAGTTGTATTTACATATTTCCAAGAAAATTCGGTTACAACATTTCCCAAACAAAATTGTTGTTGAGGCATGTTAAGCAGTTACAAAAAATCTGAGATTGTATCTACCGACACACAACTTGCGTCGTTACCATTAAATTACCAACCACGTTCTGTATCTACAAATTGAAGTTTGCAGAATGTTTTAAACAATATTATGGATGCCGCCCTCTTTTCCAAGACAAAATGTCCGTTTTTGCCTTTATCGTTGAGAAAATCGGGAAGAACCCCGGTTCCAATTTAGTAACTTTGCCAACGTTCTGCGGTAAGTAGCAAACGAGCTTATTTATTTCCTTTGGTTGTTCGGTTCGGATTTCCTTTTATTCGGATGCAGGTAACCCCCGGACCGCAAAACTCTGAAGTAATATCGTCGAAGTAATTCACTAAATCCAATTTGTGTACGGGATCGATAACTTAACGACTTGGACGAGAACAAAGTCGCCCAGTTACCTAACTTTCGTTGCGCATAAATCAGGCTTTGTGTCTTCGAGATAGATAATCATCCGGAAAAAACAGATAGGATTCATTCAGTACGAATAAAGAAGTCTGTGAGAAAAACACGTAACTAATGGTAACTTCAAAGAACTAAGCTCTCACAAACAAAAAGTATGCGTAGGACATACTGTAGATACGTTAATAAATTAGCAAAAAATTAATCTGTAAAAGCTGAAAATTAAAACCTTACAAAATTCAGTTTATGCACGAGTAGCTTGAAAATGGTTGAAATAAATTGTAGAGTGTAGTTTTGTGAAACCATCAAAGAAATGACGGTTTCCTACCTTAAACACAGTAGTATTTTCGGGTGAAGCTACGTTTCAAATAATCAAATAATTGGATTATTTTTCATAAATGGAAATTTAAATAATCAGCTGTATCTGAATTTATTTATTTGAAGGAAGTATTTTTAGTGTACCTATTCGATTGATGGAATTAAATGGGTTGCTCGTTCTCCCGCTAAACTTTTTTTGTGGGGATCTTTGAAATATAAGGTTCATAAAATAAAAAAAGTCACTTTTCGAATAACTGAGGTAAATACCATTCCGGAAATTGAAGCAAATGTGCAGACATTTCACCACAATTTATTTTGCCTAAATACAGTGTTTCAAGAATTATTCTTCGGCATTACGGAAAATAACGCTTAGAAAAAATACCAAAACCGAGAAAAGCAAGAAAACTTTAATATGAATGGATAGGTGCATCAAATGAATCTCTCAAAATAACCCTTCGAATCCGTACCGAGGATTATTGCTGAAATTCCTGAACTAGAAATCGGTACGAGAGCAGTGCAAAGAAAGATTGTCGAAGCCAAATTATTTGGTAGACGCCCCTCAAAATACACTTATTTCTGCATTTCCAAGAAACCATTTAAACTGGTTAGTTGACGATTGGAAAAAAATTATATTTTTTGATGCAACTCTCTATAAATACTTAATTATGATGGAATACAGCGTTTTTCAATGGGGGTGTTCTTCTTGGAATGGCGTTGGGGCCCTACACGTCGCTAATGAAACTATGGATTGTTTCGTCTACCGGGGTATTTTACAAAATGTTATGCTACCTTCCATTTCGGTTTTCACTAAGATAACGATCCAAAACATGCTTCACTGACTGTTAAAAAGTGGTTCCAAGAAAACAACGTCCAGGTTTTGAAGTAGCCAGCACAATAGCCAGACTTAAATCCATTTGAAAACTTGTGGGAGGAAGTGCAGGGACGGATAAGAACTTCCGTATTCACGAATAAATAAGGTTTGCTAACAAAAATCCAAAAAGTATGGGAAGCCCACCCCGCTGAGGTCATAAAAAACTGAATCTCTTCGATTCCACGCCGATGTGAAAAAGTTATACAAAATAATGGATACCGCTTTTGTGATTTTCTTTTGTTGGTTTTGTTATGAATGAATAAAAAATGACATGTGCATTTGTTGCTTTACTTTTGTCGTATAGATTTCTGCTGCATTTTTAGAATGTATATTTTATACAATGAAGGTTAGGAAAAGTTAATTAAATTTGTACAATAAACAGTTCAAATAGAGAAGAAAATGTTTCAGTTACACTAACCCAATATAAACTTCGGAAAATTTGTAAACAAATTGATTTGTTGCTCTACTTTTGTCCAACAGTGTATGTTTGATTTTTAATACCGGTTTTCAGTTAAGATGACGCTGCTAGAGGCAGAAATAGTTTTTTTTTATTATTTTTCACAAGAACTGCAGTAAGTTAATTTATTGTTAAGGGATCTTGCACAGACATGACCTTCCTAAAAATTTGCAATATCTAAAGTCTACGCTCTACGCTATTGTATGCGTCCTTACTTATATAGTTTTGCGGTTCTCTGGCAGTTTTTACAAATAAACTAGGACTAAAAAATCTACTAGATAAATTGCTTTAGAAAGGAAGTATGAAAGATGAATTGATATAATAATAGCAACTAATACACCATTTTTTAAAGAAAATTATTGATTCAAACAGGAATGCAACCTTTTACTTATGACTGATGGAACTCTCTCTACCAACATATTGTATAGATGGCAATAGTGGGTGTAGATAGATATTTGCAATGTACTACGTGGCCTGTTATCCGGAAGCCAACATTTATTATTTATACAGAACTTTCCTTACTTTTCACAAAGGTTTATTTAATGCTTTAAGATGTCATGTTAAAATATCTCAGCAAAAAAGTTCCTAAAGTACAGCCCAAAACAAATTGGAAATTTTTTTGCACAAACATTGTCTTAAAATAGTTTGTACAAGCAAAAAGTAAAATTAAAACTTTAGTCTAGGTCTAATCTAGAATAACTAAATTTTCCGATAACGTCATCAATTTCTTGACAAGATAAACAGATTAGAGGTTCGCAATAATTTGAAAGTACTTTAAAGTTTGAATATAATCGATACGACAGTGTCGGGAAGTCTAGGACGAGCTTTCACTATCCTAAAAATAAAATATGTAATTGAAATAAATTATTATTACTTTGTAAATTAGAGCTCATTTCCTAGTATTCCCTATGGGAGCAGCAATATTTTATACCAAATTGAAACTAATATATTCCATTTTTATTTTTTAGGTAAATAGCACTACTTCTGAAACGAGTGGCAAAATTGAAAAATGTGCGTATGTGGAAGCTCCGTAAATAAAGCTGTTATTGCGAGCTCGCAGATTTCCCTTAAATGTTTTATTTATTTTACTGCTCAGAACGAAGTCGCATACGTATCGAACGCGCTTTTTTAATCACTGTGAAAGGGTTGAGTGGAGATGAAATTAGTGTCAAAAATCAAATCCGAGAGCCGTGGAGCTTTCGCCGCTTTAATTCCGAGTTATTTAGTCCGCAATTATAAAGGCGCGTTCTTGCCAGGTCTGGTA